CTCACTTCTCGGGTGTCTGTTCGTCCCAGAAACGATACCATCTACCCAACGGGCGACGAGGGTCAGAAAATATGTGGGGTTTTCTCTGAAAATGATCCGTTGCAGTGCTAGAGCGCTTCCTGCATTGTATGGCTAATGCCGGTGTCGCGGTACATTTCATCCCCCCGAATTTTTATCCGGGCGGATAGGATATTCTATCCCCCCCGGATAAAATTTCCTAGGATATTCTATCCGCACCCGGGATATTTTATACCCCGTGCTGTGCGTTATTAGGAGTGTCGAAACGCAGGCGGGGTGTGTTGTTTTGAGGTTCTGTGGGGATTTGAACGTTACAGAATGCGATGATAGCCTTGTTTGGAGTTACACCAGCGGACTGTAGAACACTACCGGATATCCCAGCGAGCGTGGAGCTCAGGTTCGCAGGTGAAGGCGAGCAGACCCGCGCAACCGCTGTGTCTCGAAGAGAAACAGAGTGCAGTCGTGCAGATTCAACTCTGTATGAGCAGCGACGGCGCCAACAAAATGGTCCCGCGCGTTTAGATGCGCAACCGTATGCGCATAAACTTTTCTTATTAGAGGGATAAAATATCCGGACCCCGGATATTCCACACTAAGAGTATTCTATCCGGCCGGATAGAATATACTATCCCCCGGATAAAATATACGGGGGATAAAATATACTGTGACACCGGTAGTCGCCATTTTATCGCTGGTGGATAATTCGCATGCGCTTCTATTTAGCTCGACCGGGTCCGCTTGCTCTGTCTCTACAAGAAGTCACAACGAATGGCGTGTACCGAGGGTTTGCACTTTAGTGCTTTTCATTTACACTGTTCCCATTCAAGTAATGGTGGTCTGATGGATAAGCACCCCCTCTCTTGATCGTGAGGTCCCTGGTTCGATCCCGGGTGTGTACGCCTTTTTTACAATGATGTAATAGGAGTGTTGGTATATATGGAACGTTTTTTCATCACTTCTCCAGGCCAGCCCGAGTGGCTAGGTGGTTAGAGTCGTGGGGACTGACACCATAGGTGCGGGGTTCGTATCCCGATCCCGCACTAAAATGTCAGGTGGTCCAGAGCATTGGCTGGGAACAGCTCTGGTTCCTCCCCTTACCCACAAAATCTACCACTGACAGTTTCCGGGCACGATAGTGGCTGCGCTGGAGAGATGAAGGGCTGGTCGTTTTTTTTTCAACCTTGGGTTTTTAAAATTTTTTTTTTTTGCACTAAACAATCCACGGGTAATACGAAAATTAGTAGAGAGATGAAAGGTTGGCAATTTTTCAACCTTAAATATTTTTTGGGCCTCAAACAGAATGGGGCTGGGCAATTTTTCAACCTATTGACCATGAAAATAGTGCATAACATGCTGTTCATTTTGATGCATGGTCAAGGCCATCAATTGTGATGGTGCCACACTTGTGTATGGGTTCCACATTTCTATATAGTGTGCCGAGGGTTTGCACTTTAGTGCTTTTCATTAGAAAGGCATGGGGCAGTTTAAATACACTAAGTTACTAACTATGTAAGTGATAACTAAAATGAAGGAAGGAGCAGAGGCTACACTTCACCCCTCAATAAAGTTTTGTGTGAAGGTTGTTAATAGACCACACCCCCTACCGACCTCCTTGTCGCTGTGGGAGATAGCAGCCAGCAGTACCCTCGTGACAGACTGTCCCAGTCTCACGTCAGTGGTGGTATGGAGTCGGGACTGGAACACCCCCGCACTGCCCAGCATGGCCAGGTAGTGCTCAAACAACTGTGACATGGAACCAAGACGGAGGAATGGAATGAAACATGGACTCAGTGAATACCTCAGATGAGCAGTGTGTGGAGTCAAGGTTCATTCTCATTGTGACAGAGAGTTTCTGTAGTTCTGCTTCGATATCATCTTCACCTGCAGAGCAAATGTCAAACTTCATTCAATTGCACGAAAATGTTTCTTTAAATGTCCGGCTCTAACAATCAAGTGAAATGCTGTTGTTGGATGCAATAGAGGTGGCATTGAGAGAGGTTAGTACCTGTGTCAGGAGTGAAATGAGGACAGGATGAGAGGACAAAGGTCTCCAGTAGTAGAGAGAGCTGCAGGATCACGTCCAGTAGACAACTGCGCTCGACCTCTCCGGCCTCAGCGTCCAGTCTCACTGCATTCATCAGGAGGGTGAACAGTCTGCAGGGGAGGGCAAGAGAGGAGAGAAAGGGGTTTCTATCACACATTAGAGTGGAAGACAAGAGTTTGGGGCGAGATTAGGGAAAGATTTGAGTGACAAGAGATCGGGATGAGATAGGAGGAAAAACGAAAGAGAAAAGAAGGAAAGTCTGGAGCGAGATAGGGGGGGGATAACACCGAGTACCTCTGTTTGACGAGGTATGCAGGGAGGAGGAGAGGACGCGAGGAGGTGAAGGAGTCCACAGATGAGAAGACACTGCCCCACACCTTCCACGGAGCTCTGTGTCTCTTGTAGTCCACTGAATGCCACAGAATGTAGCCCACCGTCTCCGTGACGATGTGGAATGTCTGCCACACGTCCTCTCCCTCGGTGTGTGTGGAGCTGGTCAGCTCGCATCGCGGCTGTCTCCCGGAGCTGCATCGCGGAGTGATGTGTTCCTGAGCAGCGGAGGGGAGGGGAGAGTTGACAAAGGCACTCAGTCTTTTGCGATACGGAGGAAATTCTTCCGTTTCTCCTCCACCAGTCGGAGCTCGTTCACCCTCTGACCTCCCCACACACTCCACCTTCACAGCTGGCACTTCTTCCACCTTCACAGCTGGCACATCTCCCTCCCTCTCCACCAATGAACTGTAGCAACTCTTCTCCTTCTCCTCTTTTTCTTGCGCGCCACCCTCCCCGTCCTCCTGAGGTCCAGAGAAGGGGGTGAGAAGCCACAGAAACATGTCCACCCAGTCGGGGAAGGAGGAGAACTCGTTGACGTGTGTGGGGAGGAGGTGGAGGATGGAGATGAGTTGCTGGGAGATGGTGTAGCGAGCCACCAACGGAGCATTCCGCAGCAGTTGCAGAAGAGAGAAGTAGATGGAGAAGTTGGAAATGTATTCTGAGAGCGAGGAAAACGAGCATTAGTGGGAACCATGAGAAACACAAACATTACCAGTAAAGTTGTGTTGCCTGGAGATGCAGAGCTCCAGCAGGGCAATGATGAGGGAGGAGGAGAGGGCGTGATTAGCCATCTGGCAGACCGCTGCAGCAAGAGATCCAGACCCCAGGGCTGAGTGGAGAGGACTGGCCGACACCCCTCCCTGGATCACGTAGAGATGGGACAGAATCTGGAATGGAGGGAGGGAAGGAAGGTGTGCCATTATAGAGGCATATGGCGATACATGTAAGTGTAAACTATAATATGTACTAGAACACATTTTTGGGAGCAAACATGAGAAGTTCAATTTTTCGCATGAGCATTTGGAATCACGTAAGACGTTACGGTATGTGCAGTGGAATTCACATAACTATAAATTCCTCATTGAGACGGCTATATACATAGACAGACTCGCTTCACTTGCCAATAATCTGCCAAAAACCAGGGGCCATCATAGCATGTTACACAGATAGAGTGGAGACCTTGATGGAGATGAGTCTGACAGCCATACTCTCGGCTCTGATTAGAACGAGTAGGGGGAGTCCCCTGGACCAGAGAGCGGTGAGGAGGCCGGGAGGGGGCGGGGCAGACCTCAGAAGAGACAGCAGCTGTTCCAGCAGCTCCTCCTGCACTCTCTGGTCGCTAGCCGACGACACAAACCCAAACACTGCATCCAAATCTTCTTCTCTCACTTCAGTACTCAGGTACAGCTTTATGACTGGGGGAGAAGGAGGGAGAGGTTGACTTATGTGAACTCAAGCATTTTATACAAGCAGCCATTGTGGCACGAGAGAGACAGTGTGCTTTGGTGAAGAATCCAAATAAGGTACATCGATTCCTGGTGCAAGCCTTTCTTTTACTCAAGGGAAAGTAGAACATGTTTGTGTGTGGTGTAGAGAACAGAGAATGAGGGAGGAACTAACTGGTCAATAGAGCCATTCTCATATTTGACATCTCTTCAGATGTAAGAAACACCATGTCATCCTGAGGGGGTGTGGTCACATGACTCCCTATTGAACTGGGAAAAGGAAGAAATTAACGAGTTGGTCGGTTGAAGAAACAGCTCAATCAAACCTGTAGAATATTCTGATGACGTCAAGAAAATAGTGAACTCCAAACTCTGCACGACATTCCTTCAGGTTGTCCCTGACAACCGTCAGAATGTAGTTGGTGTGCCCGATCCGCACAGAGAAGTCCGGACAACTCCAAATATGGAAGTTGAAGAGAAGGTGTCGCATAAGCTGCCAGTACTGTTCGTTGTGGTTGCTTAGCAACGCCACCAGTTCCTGTATCACAGTCAGAGCCTGCACCGTCAGTTGTGACGGGGTGACCTGGGGACGTGAGGGAGGGAGGGTGGGGGGAGTTGTGACTGATTCTTTTAGTCCACAAATTGTAGTGGTCATTTCATGAACAGTCATATTCTGAACAGGTAAACTCGCCAAAATTGTCTTTGGAGGCAATTGAAGAACTAATCATATGTAATTCAGTTGAAACACAAATCACTAGGTTTAATGGGCATCATACAACATTGTAGATTGAGACCTGGAGTAGAGCCCCGAGGATAGCAGGACCTTCAGTAACCATGAACACCTGCTGATTGGTAAGGGATCCCCCTAACATGGATAATAGGAGTCTGAAGAACGAGGCCACACCCTCTTGACCTGTGGGAGGTACGGGAAGTGGTGGGTGTGGTCAGTGGGTGGAGTCTTACTCACTGTCAAACCAGGCAATGGGTGGGGAGGGGGAGAGGGCGGAGTTACGTGCCGACTCACCGCACCTCTCCAAGGTGGGTGTGGCCACCTGCTCGAGGAGAGGGAAGAGAAGACCAACTCCACCCAGTGAGCTCAGTGCAGCCTGCAGTCACCATGGAAACAAATTCCTTCTAACTTGCAGAGCAATGCAGTGAAAAGGCGATGTTTACAAGCAAATTCTTATGCTAAAGAGAAAAACTTTATATCTCCCTCGACAGCTGTAGTGGGTCATGTGTACCTTCACGTCTCTGGTGACATAGTATTGCCCGGTGAAATGGCCATCCATAGAGCTGTCGGGGGAGGCGAAAGGGGAGGGAGAGAGGTTCATGCACACTGTGTCGCGACAGGCCTTGGCGTGGTAGTAGACCAGCAGTCTGGAGCCCATTTCCCGCGTCTCGGGACACTTGGGCTGGAACAGGGACAGATCATTTGGACCTGGGGATAAGGCAAACAATATTGTACCTCTACAGACCCCACAGCAAAAATATCGTTGAGCTTTATGGCAAGTGGAGGGAAGGACAGGCTGACCAACCCCAATTTTGAATACCTTGACTGTAGCTGGAGAACACAGAACAATAAATGACCATGGAAAATTGGGTGCCTTGAAGTGGGGAAAATACAGATAGAGACCCAATGGAGTTTCATGCTCTGTGTATATCCTCTCATAAAACTTGGCTGAAGAGTATATACCTCTAGTGTAGAGAGTCCTAATGGCGGAGGGTGAGAGGTGGTCGGTGAAGAGACAGAAGGAGCTGAGGAGACCCCTCATGGCGGTTCCTCTCCCCCACTCCCCCTCCACCTCTGACAGAGGCACACTCTGCAGCAGAGAGTGACTTCTGTCCTGTGAACACACAAAGATATACACCACCACAAATCCTTCCTGTGACTACATCTTGAAAGTTGGCGACAAAACATGACTACGAATGTGTTGCAATACCTCTTCCAGTGATAGTATGGAGTCCAGGGCTGGTTTCGCCCCCGGAAATAAGGAGGTGTGGTCAGGGGTGTGGTCAGGATAGCTAACTGTGCTGTCGTTTCTTGTGAACCCAGAATTCGGAGGGACCGACCCAATGTGGCAGTGTCTGTACGTCTAGAGAGATGGAGAGAAAGGTTTGGGGTAATATAAATATAATGAGGGGGGTCCCCTTCACATCAGAGAGATTAGGACACTTCATGGCAACTGATCTCTTTAGCTGTCCATCGACAAACACCTTCAGTTCTCCTTTCTGCCACGGTCTCTTGGCTCCATGGAACACCACACCAACACTGTGCTGAAGGCAGACAGAGAGAAGAAGAGAAAGAGAATAGCTGTAAGATAATCTTCCCCATGATGGCAGGGACATACCCAGACCAGAGGAGTGAGTGGACAGTCACTGAGACACAGGGTCGTGAACTCTCTCTTTGTTGCTATGGCTACCACGAGAACGAGGGAGTTTGTGAAGAAAGTTTCGAATCCATTTCCAGACTCAGAGTAGAAACTGGGTTGTGTATGGGGGAGAAACAGAGAGGGGAACAGGTGTGACTAAAGAGGAGCAGCAATAGTATGTGTGCCTGGAGAATTGAAGTAGACTACATTTAGATTTCTCGTACTTTACCTCAACGCGAGTTAACCAATGACTTTAAGGTACATTTATATTGTGCATATTATTTTCGTACTTTTTGCACTAACAATACCTTGTGGGGGTGTACATACATACAGAGATAACGTTTATTTTCAGCCAATCACGTTGTTGACAATGCAAACAAAGACGGCAAACACGGGGGTTTATACAGGTTGTTCACAGGCACCAACAACATGGGGTTCAGCAACTACAGACCTCAATATCTGACAACACTTGCAGCAACTGTTAAACAGTTCGAGGTACATATGTAAATACAGACCTGAAGAGAATTCTTCTTCTCTTGCGAGGGAGAGAGGGAAAGGTCGGAGTAATTCGTGTGGATCTGCTGACTGGGGTGGAGTAAGTGAGTCTGCCAGTGGTCCTGGGGTAGTCCAGACACACCCAGGTGTGGAACGAGAGTGAGGAGGTGGAGGAGGGGAAGTGGAGGTGTGGAGGGAGGGAAATGATCTGAAGAAGGAACAGAGGATGAGGGTGAGTGGAACAAAGAGGACTTGGACTGACGGCTGTTTTGGATCTGAGGTCAAAGTAACAGAGAGGGACCATTCTCTCGTGAGTGATGTCATGTGACATCACACTCAGAGCCTTTTGAACACTGAAGTAGTAGGTTGGCTGCAAGGCAAGTTAGCACACACGGGGTACAGTACATACACATCAGTGTTCTCACCAGCTGGCCATGTGGCAGAGGTCGGAGTGCACCGATGATGTGTTTCAGCTCGGCAGTCTGAATGGAGTGAGACCCCAACACCTCCAGAATGTGGACCAGCAGCACTGGAATGGAATGGAGACTTCAACATGATTTACATCATTGATTTAAACGGACCTTCGACCTCTTCGCTGAATCCTCCCTCTTTCTGAGAAGCACACAATACCTCTGTCACCACGGTGATAAGCCCCGCCCCACAGCAACGCTGCCTATTGTGTGCACCAAAGGTGAGGTCGTAGAGTCTCTCTGCAAGCCACGCCCTCTCGTTATCTGGTAGTGATGGCAACCAACGTAGCAACATGGCCAGAGCCCATGTGTTGTAGATGGAGTGGGAGTGGGACTGGTACTCGTACTCTCCCTCCACCACCTGCATAGAATGAGACTCCAATAAGAGCCCACTATGTTGGTTCTAATAAGAGCCCACCATATTGATGGCCTGAGAGAGGGCGGGTGTGGAGGGCGGAGTCCCGAGGTCAGTAACCAGTTGTCTCAGTCTGTGGTAGGTGACTGTGGACTCGTATCCCTCTCGCAGAGCCTGGCTCCCCTCCACGATGGCTGTCAGACTCTTCAGCACACTGCACGCCAGGACACACTGCCGATCACCATCCTGAGGGGAATTTTTACAAAACTCAAATCCAAAGAGGTTCTAAATCTGAGGAATATGTGAGAGCTGTTTTAATTGGTGTATAATTTCATGCTGGCTTCTGTCAAAATATCTTAATATCACAAAGGAGTTACTGAGGTTTAACAAATTACTGCATACATAACAGATGAAAATTGTGACAGAGGGAGAGAGAGAGAGAGCAAGAGATGTATGTAGTAACCTCTCTGATGGAGTCTCTGATTGTGTTGAGGAGTTCAGTGATCTTGATGAGACAGCCAAGGTCTACCATCTGCTGACGGAGCCGTCCTGCCCCAGTGGGTGGGGCCACCAACAGGGGAATGGAATCTGTGGAATGTGCACTCTCGCACTAATAGAGACCATACTGTATGTACATACCGAGGATGGTAATGGCCATTTCATAGCAAGGCTGAGTCGGCACTTCCTCTCCGTATCTGAGGGAGGGTAATTAGGGGGTGTGGTCGGTGGATGTGGTCTCAGACTGACCTTGGAGTCAAGATGTTGAGGAAACCTGACAACATCAGGTTAACGTCCACCTCCACTTGTTGCTATTGGCAACAGATATACGTAATATAAACAAGGAGTCAGAGGCGATTGGTTGGTAACGAGAGGGCCTCACGTCGTCAGGGACGTGACAGTGGAGTGCGTGGGTGGCCTTGATCACCGTGGAAACGGCAAGAGTCTGAAGCGGGGAGATGTTTTCTCGGGGGTCGAGAAAGGTCAGTAGTGGTAGACACACATTTGATGAGGCTCCTCTTCGTGCATTGCTCTGTATAGATTACCTTTGAAACACAAAAGTAATGTGAAGATTTCATTACCTCAACTGAAGACAGGAGAGCCCCAATCATGTGGAGCAGTTCATTCCGGAGGTCAGAGTACAGCTGAAGACAGAGGTTGAAATGGAGCGGGACTTGGCTCTGAGTCAAGACAGACACAAACAGAGGCACTAGCTCAGCAGGGGCTGGTAGAACACTGGGTCCCTCTTTTCCTCCCGTGCTGGCCAGACTGGCTGGTAGGAAACACTCTTTCCAGGCCCGCTGGGGGTCCAGCATGGAATGGAGACATGCCACGGAATGGATCAGAGCCTGAAACAGATGCCGAATGACCACTTTCGACATTTTCTCCTTTACCTGTGTGACAGGGGGAGGTGAGAGTGGGGAGGATGGGAGGGAGGGAGAACTAACCATGGCCCAGAGGTTGTGTGCCAGTTTCATGACTTTCCCTGTCAGGTGTGACTGTGCCAGTGCCTCGTAGTTTGCCGGCCAGCTGCAGACACCGACAGAGTATGAGGTGGAGAAGGAGAGGAAAAATGGGAGACGTACGCAGCCAGTCTTGCAGTGATTGTCGCAAAGTCCGCGCAATTTGCCAACAGTTGCCCAGCAACGGAGTCCTGCTCGCCAGTGAGGTTGGCGGCAACAACCTCGGACCCAAGCTGCTGCAGGAGCAGCTCTGCATGTTCCTCTAGTGCATCCACCAGCTCTTTTGGTCTCTTCTCCAGCCGCCATGCCTTGTCCGGTGGAGCAAACCTGGGAAAGACATTTTCCCAAAACATTACGTCATCTTATAGCAGGATGACGTAATACTCACGCAATGCAGCTGGGAACGAGGTTGAACTTGTTTCTGAGGGTGGGAGGGGGAGAAGGGGTTGTTGGAGCCTCGCTCAGTGCTCGGCGGAGGTAGGAGCAGAGCCTGTCGTGAGCTGTGGCGCTCTCCTTGCGGAGACGAGCGGCCTTGAAGGACCGCCAGAGACTCCGCAAGTCCTGGCTGGAGATCAAGACACTGTTGGTCGGTTGGTCAGCGAATATTTTGGCAACTCACCTCCTCCTTTTCTGCTTGTCCGCCATCTCTGACGGCCGTGCTGCCCCGGCCTCAACCTAAAACAACCATCAGCTGCCGTCTCCTTTTCTTTCGCTCTTGTGCAAACATCAGCAAATCGTAAGTAGCCACGCCCTTCTTATCTGTGGTGCGCGTTATTTAGAACACCCTCGTGTGGCGTCTCTGCAGCAGTGAAGGAGAGATGGATGACAGTTTCCAGCGGGCCTCTCTCTATCCTACCACACTAGTCAGTCCTCTAACAAGAAGATCATATACCTAGTGTTTCTCTGTTACCATCAGCTGGTTCCTGGGTTGCCTGCAAACTGCCCCCTGCTAGCCAGCTGGAGTGGACCCCAACGTTTGGTCCTCTTCCCCCGCCCCACAGAGGGGGCGAGGCAGTGGGCGGGGCTAGCCCAAGTGAGCTGGGATGCCGCCCAGTGGAACAGCATAACTCGCCGTCTTGCAAACCAGAGTCACGGTACCAATCATTGCGTTGTCCTCTCAACATTTGTCCTCTCCATTTCATCAGGGTACTTCCTGTCTCTCCACGAGGCAGGGAGAGAGGGAGAGGGGCAGTCGCTGCAGGGTTCCGACATCCTTCTCTACAGCCGCTACTTCCGCTCCGCCCTCCATGAGTGTGTCCTGGGGCTGAGGGGGCGGGGCAGCTCCTCCTGGGAGCACGAGAGGCAGGCGCAGGTCTTCTCAACCATGGCTCTTGTCTGGCATCTTGTGGAGATACTCTTCATTGAGGTTTGACCACTCACCCACCAGACTTGTCCTCATGAGCGCAGGGCTGGTGTCTCTACATGTGTCTACAGGTGTTGCCCGCAGGGTGCCTGGTGAAGCAGCTGGTGGAGTGGGTTACCTGGGCCGGCCAGGAGAGAGACAAAAAGAGACTGAAGGAAATCCTTGGCCACACCCCTCCAGACAGTCACCATGGTTACTGGAGGATGGTGTATCGACTGGTGCTGACTGGGAGACTGTCAGAGGCCCGCAATCTCCTCGCTCACCACTCCGCCTTCTCTGCCAGGGAAGATGTGAGTCACAAGTTACCTTACAACAGGACAAATTTGCTGTTAATTGGCCTCAGACTCTAGAGCACAAACATGTTCAAACTTGTGTAGGCTTTATCTTGCGAAATCTGGCTGAAGCATTTCTCGAGAATTCTGGCCACTGTTCCAAACCTCCCCACAATACAGTGTATAATTTACTCTCCAGCATTATGCCAATGCATTAGAGAAAGTCAAGTTCTACTCTCGTTTTCCGTTCCGCTCCGTTGTGTGTGTGTGTGTCCAGCTGTTCTCGAGTGTGGACCAGTTGCTGGGGAAGGCTCCGATGGTCCGACCCACCTCCTCCCTCACCAGAGGAGAGCAGCAACGGCTGGCAGCAGTGGAGGAGAGAGGTGACAGCACGAAGAGAGGCTGGAGCCTTCCTCTCTCTCCGCCAACTTCAACTTCTCTCCAGAGTCAGTACATACCAATCTCCTTCCCCTTGGAATAGACATGATGTACAGTATCTCTTATTCATGTTTTAGTGCGCATTTGTTAATACTCATTTATTTCCTCAGGTGTTGAGTGGTGAAGAGGAGGTCTTCAGTGAGCCAGAGTAAGATGACATCATCATTACATCATACCCTCACTCCCCTCCCTACAGGATAGTGGGTAGTTGTGAGTCTTGGTATGAACTAATGGTGGCCAGGGTTCTCTTCACCACTCCTCTGGTTATGTCATCTGACTATGATCTCGTCTACTCCGCTGAGGTAATGTATGCACTATGGACCTATTCTCAGTATCGACAAACTATTTGTCGAGGTATATATCTATATAAATGTATTGTAGTGTGGTCCCTGACTGTGTGTTCTTGATTTCTCTAATACGATGACAAGAGGTTTCGTGGCATCTTGAAGGAAGCAAAAAAATAGTGTTCAAAAAAACATTTGTGGTTCCACATCATACAATATTCTAAACTTGCCTCCAGGCAGCCATGAAGACGTTTGGAGTGGTAAGTCCGGAGCCACTGGACTCTCTCCTGCTGGCAGCTCTGAAACACAGTCCTCTGGAGGTGGTGTGAGGTCCTGGCCCGCTCACACTCAAGCACTGTGGCTGGTCAGCTCACTCTGCTGACCATCCTCAGCTCAGTGACTCTCTCCACACACAGCCAGAGTTAGTCTCTCTCTCTCTCTCTCTAGACTACTGTGGTAATGTGAGCTGCGATGATGTGTGACTAGAGAATAGTTTTATATTGATGCTTGACATGGTTGGTAGTGTTTGGCTAAAGTATCTACCTGAAGGAAGCCTGAAGTATTGAACTTTTCATACGGACCTTAGAAATGACCTAGTACATGGTTGACCTGAATTTTCTTCCTCTGTCAGGTATGGGGCAAAGTTGGCTGAGTTTCTGATCATTGAGTATGCCTCCAGTCTTCTGGCTCACCCCAGGTACTGACTGTAGCTGTACACACCATGTATTCCTGCTGAATATTGTGAGGAAGGGAGCAGTTAAAAATGCAATTTAATCGACGAGTGTTAGAGAATCCTGACCAGAAACATTGTAGGGGACCCATACCTGACTGCCCAACATCAGTATTGGCATATGTTTCATCCACCTCTCAATTGCCATCTCACGCAGTCTCTGGCAGGTGGCCATGGACTACCTCAGTGAGTGTCCCACACAAGGAAGGTATGTCATTGTCCTCCCTCACTCACCAGCCAGTCTCTCTGTCTCTCCAGACACCACATGGTCCTCCATCTAGAGAGAATTCCTCTCACTTCGGCCAGGAAGGCTGCCAAGGTCCTGCAGCTCTGTAGAAAGTTTCAACTCAAGGAATTAGGTATGTGCAGTGAATATAGGACACACCGAAAGTGTCCTGAATTCTGACGTATCCAAGTGTTCCTTGTTTATGGAGAGGTGTCATTAGTGGGAGGGTCCAAAATAGTGTTCAACTGTGGTACAGAGATTTCACTAATGAATTCCGCTGTAGAGGAGAGCGTGTGTCGAGTGATGGCAATGAAGGAGCTGAGGTCAGGAAGACTGGGAGCTGCCTTCTCGTGGTGTCTCCAGTCACAAGACTCGGTCTTTGCCGCATTCCTCGCTGAGAGGTACACTAACACCTCTCCCTGGATCGGTCCCTGTAAGTGGGAGTTGCCTTGTGTCTGCAGGTATTTCACCAGCTACCAGACATTGGGGGAATTCATGGACCTTGACCTGCTGGACAACCTCGGTGCCGCCATGCTCATTAGCAAGAAACTCACTTTCCTCGGTCAGCTTTGAGTATGTTGCTATGAGTATTGTCATGTGACAGTCACATGACCCCAGGCAAGTACCGCGAGTTCCACCAGTTGTTTGCTGACGGTGAGTTCAGACCGGCAGGCCAGCTGCTTGTCTCTCTCCTCACGTCTGGAGTGGTCCCCAAGAGGTGCTCCTTTTCCCCCCTCTCTCCCTTCACGATGTACTCCGCTGTTGGTTGCAGGTTTTGGCTCACTCTACTGATGGACTCCCTCCCTCTACTCAACCTCAAAGATGAGGTATGGTTGAAGACGTGATTTGCAATGTTTTTGACACTAAAGGTGTTGGAAAGCAGTCTAGCAAATGTCTTCTCCGTATAATTTCTAGCTATTGTGAATCTGTTTGATGCATTCTAATTCAGATTGTGTTCTCATCAGAAGACACAGTGGCTCTCTCTCACTGCCTCCAGCAACTCACCTCCTCACACTCCAGAATTGACCAATCACAATCCACCTCCAAGTCACATGACTCAGAGAAGGCCCCGCCCCCTGATCAGAGCAGCAAACTCTCCCTCCTACGTGTAGCTCTTTGTCGAAACCTTGCCTTGGCCACTCTGCAGGAGGCTGAACTATCTTAACCCTCTCTCTTTGTGACTCAGTTTTCCTGCCATTTTGTTTCTCCACTTATACCATGTCATGTCATAAAAATGATGAACATAAAACTGAAGTGATGTACTATAATTGCGACTATGCAATGATGATGTCATCTATAAGGATGAGTGTTGTAGGGGGTGTGGTCACCCTGATCAGTGATGTAGAGAGTCAGAGGTGTGGTCTTGGTCATGAGGTCAAGGTCCGACTGGTCCACAATCTCTATCAGATCTCCGTCAATGTCTCTGTAGTTGAGTACAATGTCCCTCCTACCAAGGTGGTCCCTGGTAGGGAAGACAAACACCAAGGTGCAATGGCACCCATGATACAAAATCATGCTGCCATCCAACAACAAAGAGTACTCTCACCCTCGGCGCGCATGCGCGGCGAGGGTTAGTCGTCGTGTACGTGTGTGTCTGTCTGTGTACGTGTGTATACGACTATTCTCGCACTACAGGCTATACGACTATTCTCGCACTACAGGCTACGAGGCGGATTATGAGCGATATCAACAGCTTTAGCTGTATATACATGGGCTAGAAAAATGAAATGGCGATTTTGCTGAAACGACTGTGTTCGAGAGCGACAAACTGACACGGTCGCGGACAGCGTTGCGTGGCCCAACCCATCAATAAGCGGTGCGCATGCGTGTATTAGACGCAGTATGCTGGCTAGGCTCAACTCGCCTTGCTCTGTGTATATACCTTCCTTGGAGGCACGGTGTGTATCGATCGACTCCCGCATGCTATCTACTACTGTAGCTAGCCAGTGTCAGACTCTCCGCAAGCTACTGCGGGAGACCGCGAGTGAACGCCATAGCCCAGCCTTATACCGCGCATCGCAGTACGTCGAGGGTTTGCACTTTTAATTTACGCTGTTCCCATCCAAGTAGTAATGCGTGGTGGTCTGATGGATAAGCACCCCCTCTCTTGATCGTGAGGTCCTGGTTCGATCCCGGGTGTGTACGCCTTTTTTACAATGATGTAATAGGAGTGTTGGTATATATGGAACGTTTTTTCATCACTTCTCCAGGCCAGCCCGAGTGGCTAGGTGGTTAGAGTCGTGGGGACTGACACCATAGGTGCCGGGTTCGTATACGATCCCGCACTAAAATGTCAGGTGGTCCAGAGCATTGGCTGGGAACAGCTCTGGTTCCTCCCCTTACCCACAAATCTACCACTGACCCATGTTTCTCATTGGCTGGGAACAGCTCTGGTTCCTCCCCTTACCCACAAATCTACCACTGACCCATGTTTCTCAAAGGGCAGCGTATAGTTCGGCATAGCACTGGTCCTAGACGTCTGTCTGGAGAGATGAAGGGCTGGGCGTTTGTTTTTTTTCAACCTTAGGTTGTTTTTTTTTGCCACTAAACAATCCACGGGTAATAGGAAAATTAATAGAGAGATGAAAGGTTGGCAATTTTTAAACCTTATATATTTTTTGGCCTCAAACAGAAATGGGGCTGGCCATTTTTTCAACCTATTGAAAATAATGTGCATAACATGCTGTTCTTTTTGGTCAAGACCATCAATTGTGGTGGTGCCACACTTGTGTATGGGTTCCACATTTCTATATAGTGTGCCGAGGGTTTGCACTTTAGTACTTTTCATTTGTTTCCAGACTTTCTTGCACATTTAATGTATACATCACTACAGAATATCACTTACTGAATGGCATTCCTGAGTCTGAGGAAAGTTGGTCTGCGAATCAGATCAGCTCCGACCTGGACTGACGAAGCCACACCCCCCACATAGCAGGTAATGAAGGAGGCAGAGTGATCCACCTGCTCCTCTTCCTCGCTCTCCCACTCATCCTGCAGTCACATGAGAGTCAGGTGACAGTCACGTGACCACCACCACTCACAGACTGATTGCCATCGTCCAGTCTCTGAGTAGAGGGCAGAGGTTCAATGATAGAGAGGTAGGTGAGGGGAACAAGGCCAGACTGTCTTCCTAGTCTCCCTATCACCCAAGATCCGTCAACCTCTGCCTCCAGAGCTATGACTGCTCCAGCTGAGAATGACAGCTCGTCACCGTACTGGGATGTGTACTGGTACAAGGCCTTCCCCCGAGGACCTCTGACGGCAGTTGGAGGTGGAGGTTTAGTGGGCGGAGCTGCAGGTCTTGAGGGCGGGGCTGGGTGGGGTGGGGTGGAAGACTTCCTCGGAGTGTGCGACTGACTGGGCGGAGCAGGTCTGAGGCGGGAATGTCAGTTTTGGAATGCCTCTTTCTCCATATCAGTTTCAAGTTGGTATATATACATTATATATATATAGTACTAGGAAAGTAAGCTCACCTGGCAGGTTTGGCTGAGAGTAGTTTGGACGCCTGGCTGTGGTTGTCACGGTCCTGTGGTGTTTGTCTGGTGAATGCCTTCACTATGGAGTCATAGCGGATGTTGTCCGGCAGAGATATGAGGTGCTGTGAGGGGAAAAACACCTGGTGAATTGATGGTACGTGCCACCCGGAGGAAAGACAACGTATATTATGAGCTATTGTACTCAGCTTGTCGTGCCAGGAGAGAAAGATTCAAAGCTCTGGAGAACTATTCTATTACCCTAGCGTGCACCTTTCTCCAAGGCATCAAGACTGTGCAACTATTATTGTACTCCACCTGGAGGTAGCTGTTGAGTTGAGGCAATCTCTTGTCGGTCACTTCTCTCACTGCACTCCTTGACAGATACAGCTTCCCTTCATAGAAAGATGGCATTACTCATCGTCTGCAGCCGTCAGTACAGCACCACCTGACCTGGCAGCGTAGGCAGGATCCTCTCCTTCTGACTGAACTCGCCAGCCTCCACTGGGAACCTCTTCTCAAGAAGTTTCTGCATCTCGTCGAACTGTCTGTAGCGACGACTGACGAGGTACGCGGAGCCATCACGACACGTCACTCGTATCACGTACACCTGCAAGGAAGAGAGGAAGATCGAGTTTCATCCGCTGACCGGTTGCTAGATGAGATCTCACGTAGTACTTGGATAGACCTTTCTTCTTCTCCACGTTCACAATCTCCAGTCTGGTGGGCAGCGTGTGGTAGTCGGCGCTGAACGAGAGAGTCACGTGGATCACTGGAAAGATTGCTAAACACACATAAACTCACCCTCTTTTCCTCGCTGCCTGCGCCATACTCCTGTCCTCTGCTCTGAGCTCAGAGGTGTGGACACGCCCCCCTTTGGACCCTGGTATTCTGGAATGCTAATTATCTGGCCTTTTCCACGTCGATTGTCGTCCGCCGGTTGTCGTCCGCCGGTTATTCGCTGAGGAAGATAGGAAAGCAGAGAAAGGGACAGCCATGAGCAGAGAGCTGTTGACGGCCATCTTAGAGGCCTGCAATGGTGAGTAATGTTGACACTATTGTGTGTGAATGGAGTTAGTTTTTCCCGGCTTGCGATTCCGCCGGTTACAAGCCCGTGTACAAGCCGAGCTTGTAAGTTATGTAACTGATTTACAGGGGTGACAAGCACTGAGCTCTTTTACCTAGACCTAGGTCTGGCCTGTGTCCTCAAATTTTTTCAACATCGCTAATCCTTCCATTGTGCTCTTATAGCCACAGTTTGCAAACAATCAATTTCGGAAATGATCGTTGATCAGTTGGAGTGGCTGCTAAGTAACTGGTGGCGGTGCAGCCAACTTCAAAACAACTGTTGGCGTGCATGATGGGACCTTGTTGTGTTTGTGACCCCTAGCAGATGGTCTGGCACAGGGTGGCTTCCTTGAGTTTACATTTCTCCACCTACTCTCTCTCTCTCTCGCCTCTCCATTTTGGTCCCTCAGACTTTCATGTCTTCCTGACCAAAGACCTGCAGGGACAGGCACTGGCTGCAGAGGTCGAAGGTCGACGGAAGCAGCTGGTAATCTCAATCAATGGGGTACTGAGCAAGATAAACTCCGCCCACCCCTCCATCCGTCCTCGTCTCTACACCCCAACCACCAACGGTCCACAGCCACCTGCAATTGGGAAGAAACCAGCTTCCAAACTCCCTCCCTCTGCCCCTGATGAGGTGAGCTATCTTAGACCACACCCACTGCCACGCCCACTACCCCTCCCACTAGGGTCAGGAGATGTACATAGAGTGTGAGCCTCAGGACAATCCAGAAGACTACCTCACATTCACCAGTCAGAACGGAGAAGAGGAGGGGGAGGGAGGACCGCAGGAGATGTATGAAGCCATGGCAAACACAGACGAACCTCTCGACCTCTACGAGGACCCAGGTCTCTGTTCCATGTCTCAGAATAGAGAATGGAATCATTGTCTCTCCCCCCACAGTGCAAGGAGTCATCTCACCATCTGGAGAAGTGTCTCCCATCCCCCAGCAGCCCCCTCTTCCTGGCCCCAAGAATGACGACAGACCACAGGACGTGTACGAAGAACCCATCACATCTCCCCCTCCTCCCACAATCCCCACTCCCACCCCTCCCCCCTCTGCTGAGAACAGCGGCTCCGGGGCGGTGTACGCCCGCACCCAGATAATTGCAGGGGCACCTCCCACTAACGACACGGCAACTGAGTGGATATACGACACCACCAAGAAGGACGAGAAGAAGCTAAAACCGAGTCAGTTGGAGAACGTTCTGTGCAAGGGAAACTTGGAGAAACTTGGAGGAAAGAACAAGAAGACATGGCAAGTGAGGTTCTGCGCCCTAGCTGGCCCATTCATGTACTTCTACGAGAAAGAGTCGAGCAAAACCTACAGGAATCGGATCGTGTTGCCGATGTACACCGTGGCAGAGGCTCCTGAACACACCAATGCCAAGAAACGGCACTTTGCCTTCAAGTTGACACACACGGACCAGGGAGGGATGAAGAAAGACTATTTCTTCAGGTCCAGTAAGAGGGAAAGTTGCGAGACCTGGGTCCAGGCCATGAGGAGCCTCAACGAGAGGACAACCATCACTCCACAACACGTCCTCGTGACTACATCCACTGCAGAGGGTGGAGCATCTGGGGCTGATGTTCAACAGGTGAGCTTCAGTTTCACACATGTATCAGTGTATGTAGTGTGGTGTGTAGTGGTGAGTGTACTCCAACTCTCTGGGACCACATACTGAGTGTAGTGTGTCTATTAGCAAACTCTTTGGTCAGCGAGCATAGCAAGCCTCAAGTGCATCATCACACATAATACTAGTAGGCGAATGCATGGCATTTTTGGCGAGCGGAAGCGCGCTTACAATTGGGGTCTAATCGTATGAGTCACTCTTGTGTGTGCACAAAACAGTGAGATACATTGCACAGGACCAAGTAGGCCGAAACGACCCAAGCGCAGTAGACAATTCGAGTCGAGTCAAAAACAGTCAGTCGACAGCGCGAATCAGGCATAATCCGGCAATCTGATTGGTCTTGCAGGAATAGGGAACAAGTGGCAATGTATAAAAATCTCTCGCTGGACTGTGCAGCAATACTCGATAGCTTCGGAGGTGTTGCGTTTCCCCTGATTCCGCTCGATTCAGGCAGCATTATGAAAATGTTGAAATCCCTTTCGGATAAAAAGAAGCGCGTAATGCTGGAGCATGCGCAGTTGGACGACGTATGGGTACATATATATATATATATATATATAGAAAAATCGCGCCGTTCGGACCACTAGGTTAGCTCGCTTCCGCTCGCCAATTATACAGTGAAAAGCAGACACCTTGGACGAATTGAAACCAGGGTCATCCCTTATTTGGATGTAGTATAATACACTATATTGAGCGCAATGGAGAAAGAGTCCTATATTTGGAGGTTTTTGTGGGGTTTCCATGATACATGTAAACTGGTGGGGACTTCTGAGGGCTTCACGTGTATGTATGTAGAATAAAGGAAAATCAAGAAATCAAGCAGTTGCACTAGAGCTTGCTTTACTGTCGTGCTAACAGATGTTGTCTGTTGTTCAGGAGATGTACGAGCCAATAGATCCGATGACCATGAGTGATGAGGAGGTAGAGGAAGGGGAAGATGATCCAGAAGACTACGTGGATGTAGTCCCACCACCTCTAGAGGACCAGGAGGAGTATGTCGATGTTCCTCCACCCACTGTGGTGAGTGTGGAGGCACTGTGTGTGTGTGTGTGTGGCTGGCAAGACCTCACATTGTCACAAACATTGCAACATTCTTTTGCTCAAATTCCAATTAAGCATTGTGGATAAAATTTCACTGTGGTCAGCACTGCATGTTCAGTGTACAAGTGTGTCCGCCACAGCACATACTAATCAGTAACAGTAAGCAGCACAACTTGTGCAATATGGTCCAATCATTTTCACAATCACCTCTCTCTCTCTCTATCGTCACAGGAGGACGATGATCAGGAGAACTATGATGACATGGCAGATCTGCGATCCCCGCTTCCTCCCCCAATCCCTCCTCCTCCCTCCAAAACCCCGGCTCCCTCGGTCACACGTCGTCAACCAGACTCTCCCGTGGACACCAGCAAGGTCTACAGCCAGTATCCCAACGGAATCAACCTCCAGAATGTGTTTGTGGCACTCTGGGATTTCTCAAGCTCCGCCAGAGACGAGCTGAGCGTCCAGCGAGGAGATCTGGTGCATGTGGTGGACCCTAACCCCAAGGTCCAGTGGTGGGCCAGCGAGGCTCTTGACCAGAACGCTGCAAGCAAGACTGGTTTGTACGGCTTCCTCCCCTCCAACTACGTTGAGGCTGCGTTCGAGCTGGTCTGAACCCCTGACTTCTCTTCTCCTTCTCCCCCCACACACGTAATCACTGCTGATTCACAATGTCAATGCAGCTGTTGTTTTGTAGCAATAAAATTCTCAACTGATATTTTTTCACTTTCAGTATTTGTATGTGTATGTGTATGTGCTATGATTTTTCAAATGGGACAGGTGGAATTGTTTGCGAAAGAGGACAAACTGGTGACAACAGAACAACATTATCTCCTCTGACAAATAGTTTGTCTAAATGTCTGTATTGTCCGCCGTCTTGGGCTGGCTCCTGAGCAGGTGTTGTCTTGTGGCGCTGTCTTCTTCTCTGAGATCTTGGCTGGAGTCCTCCATTGGCTACTGTCCTCAGAGGAGAGAATCTTTCACTGACATCTCCAAGAACCTGTCGCAGTCACAACCATAGATTAGACTACACAAACTAAATCTAAGTAGTCGTAACGTCAGGGAAACTGGTCACTGAAGAAGGAAAGTTCTCACTAGGTTAAGGTGCTGGTCGAAGGCAAGAACGGTTCCCTCACACTCTCCCCTTACTCCTGCACAATGTCTCACCACCACCTTCACTCTCACTCTCTCCTCCCGGCATCTCTGCACCAGACACAGCGGGCCTGAGGTCGGACCTGAACAAGTGTCTTGAGAATGAGTCTATGTCACTCTCACTTACTTTCCATGGTGGAGATGACCGACTTGACTGTCCTGACCAGCCGCTGTCTGCTGGAGAGAGGGACTGCGGCTCTCGCGCCCTGTTTCCTTGGCTGTTCTTGCAGCTGCCCCCGGGAGCACGCCGCCGACTGAGACGGAGGTTTCCGTGAAGTTCCGCGGACAACGGAAGCATATTGCTCTAAGTTGTCACATGGCTGCACTTCCGGATACGGGAGTTGGATCTTAGAGGGACTGGTTACCAGAGCTTTCTCAGCAGAGAACTGAGAAGACAGAAAATCTAGACTTGGGTCTGGAGAATTGTCTTGCTGCATTCTATTTAAAGCACACCGAGATTGAGGGGGTGGGGCTACCAGCACTTTGCGCATGCGTATTGAACTCGCTGACCTCTCGATCGGCCGAAGAGAAGCGATCGAGGCCATGTGACGCGATGGCTGGTAGAGCAGTGGAAGGAGTAGCGAAGCTGTGCCAGCGACGGCTGTATTCGTGGCTCTCGTCTCGCTGTGGCCTCCCAGTCTGCATTATCGGCAGTGTTCTTCTTCTGATCTCTGTTCTCCAGTTTGGAGAGGTAGCTATCCAGAGTTATGGGTGGTTGGTCAGTGAGTTAGGCCGATCCCCGGCTCTGCAGGTACTGCTGGAGTGGAGTAAGGAAAGATACGAGTATCAGTTCAGTATCTACGCAGACAACGTCATGGGCAAGTCCTATGAGAAATAGTGAGTTGACAATTTCCACATTATCAGTCAGTCAGAAATGCTCTGACCCTCAGCCTGTGTCCGGAGTTGCCAATAGACATAGTGTATACCTGGGTGAATGGCTCTGATCCTGGGCTGCTAGAGGCTCTCAGAGAGCTAAAGAAACAGACCAGCCCCCCAACGTAAGCCACTCTCTCCTGTGACAATAAAACGGCTTCTGGATCTCTCTCTTCCAGCGATCCTATCAATCCCACTGTGGCAGCAACCTCCCCAACGTAAGATAAAAGGGTATGAGGTTGAGATTTTGGCTCACCATTCCCTCTCCCCCAGTCCCCAGAGTAGCGACTCCTGTCCTTTCTCAAACTGTGTCCCCTTCAACACAGTTCTGCTGGACGCTCGCTCCGTTCCTCTCCTTCTCCTCTCCTCCCTTCCCTCCATCTCCCCTCTCCTGGCCAATGCCTCAGCTGTCAATATAGTGAACCCACACGCAGCTCATCTTTCTCCAGTCCATGTTGTCCAGCTCCCCTCTGACCACCACGGTCAGTAGTACACACCCTACGTATATACCTCCATCACTGTGCCCTTCTCTCTGCAGTTAGTCTAGTTCTGAAGCAGGGCATTACTGATGATTCTGGTGAAAGGATTCCCGCAACTCGTGGATATCTGGTAAAATGCCCACCTCAATCTTTTATGCAGTGTAAAACAATCCGTGTACGCAACTTCTGTTTCTCTGACGATTTTAAATAACAACGGGTTTTTTCCCTATACATTTTCTTTTTTCAGACTAATGACAGTAAAGTGGTAGGGGCAGTAAGGATGGAGCACCTCATGCTGGTGGAAGGATCTGCCGTGACTCACAACAACAGCCAGCAGCTACACACCTGGATGAAGTCTTGTTTCCATGGCAATCTCACATCTGTGGAAGTCAAAGGTGAGGTTGGTGAAATACTCTCTCCTGCCATCAATCAATGAACCCACAGGTGACGGAATTGCGGTGGCAGAGTTCACAGCTGTTGGAGACGTAACTAAGATGTCAATGTCCGATGAACTGACGTTTGCTGGGCTGCCTCTGAAACTGTTGCCTGCCTTCCTTATTTGGATGCCTTTCTCTCTCCCAACCAACTCTCCTGTAAGTCTGAGAGAAGAAACACAATTTTTCGCCTGAACTGCTATAAAATGGGATCTTACTGAAAAACATTCTCAACCTGACTACATCATTCACAGGAGAATGCGACGGAGAAAGTGGGTGATGACATTTCTGCCAGTCGGTTTGAAGACAATGAGGAGATGAGGTACTCTCTGAGGTCAGTGGTCCGCCACGCCCCCTGGGTCCGACACATCTTCATCATCACCAACGGACAAATCCCCTCCTGGCTCAACCTCGATCATCCCAGGATCACCTTAATTACCCACCAGGCAAGCCTTGATGACCACACCCCCTGACCACACCCACTTCCCCTCCCCTTGGCAGGAGATATTTCCCAACAAGAGTCACCTGCCGACCTTCAGTTCCCCGGCAATCGAGGCTCATCTCCATCGCATCCCCGGCCTCTCCAAGAGGTTCATTTATCTCAACGATGATGTAATGTTTGGAGCTCCAATTTGGCCGGAGGATTTCTACACTCCTCGGAGAGGCCAAAAGGTCAGCTCTCACACCTTATTACGTGATACAAATCAAGTTTTCTTCAGCTCCAAACAAGGTGAAAAAGGTTTGGCATTATCCTCACATTGTGTGTAATGATGACGGGGGATAATAGCAGTGATCTTGCAAAGTTTGGGCTCAAAACCAACAAAGTTTTCCCTCTCAAAATTTTTCTTCGTAGTGAGACGTATTGTTCCTCTCATCTGCAGGTATACCTGTCGTGGCCAGTGCCATACTGCGCAGAGGGCTGCCCTCCAAACTGGATCACTGACCGCTACTGCGATCAGGCCTGCAACAACTCCATGTGCGACTGGGACGGAGGCGACTGCCACGGAGCCACTCGCTACGGCTGGAGAGGAGGTGCTGCTCATTCCCCATTCTATTCCCCCTGTAAGCCACACCCACTTCCCGTTCCCTGATCACATGACCTCTTTTCTCATCAGCTCGGGAGACTTGCCACTCGGGCTGCCTCAACAACTGGCTGGGAGATCGCTATTGCGACCAGGTCTTGCCTTCCCCCCCTCTTTTATCCTTCATTCCCTGTCCCCCTCTCCACCCAGGCATGCCGGGTCCCAGACTGTGGATATGATGCTGGAGACTGTGGCACTGAAAAGTGGGACACACTCTACAGCGTCGTCCCACGCCCAAACCACACCCACTCCATTCCAGCCGGAGTCACTGCCATGTTCTTCAACCTGTCCTCCTACTTCAGAAACGGGAGCATCTCATCTGCAGAGTATTCACCGTCTCGCGTAGTGCGGACGGCAGTGCTGGCTCAGACATTCAAGACAATCAGTCTCACTTTCTCAAAGAACACTTCTCGCTGCATCTCCAACATTACCGTCAATGGAACCTCCGCCTCTGGGGGTGTGGTTACTGTAAGCTCCACCCACTCTCATTAGCAGCAGTAATGATAGGGGCTTACTCCTCAGGTTAATTTTAGTGTATCAGTAGACACTACAGTGATCAACCAGACTGTTCGTGGACAAGACTCGTCTCCATGGAGTTTCCCCGAGTTTAACTCTACCCACTCTGAAGAGGTTGGCTTCACATGATGGTCATGTGACAGTCATATGATTCTATCTCATCTCCAGTTCCTGGCTGCAGTGGCTGGTAGGTTGAGAGCATTCAGAAATATGTCAGTCAACTATTGGATTTCTGAACAGTAAGTCACTCAGCACCTCATGTTTTTATGGTATGCTGCAATTAATATATAATTATAGCAACAATTTTATTGGTGCGACAAGTGAAGGAAAGTGTGAAATTTCTGATTTTGAATGGTGAAACATTTTCATCTCCCTCCCTTCCTCTCCAGTTCCAAGACCATCTTCACAGAGGCTCCATCAACTGAGTTGGCTAATTACGTCGTCACAAACTCCTCCCTCCTCCCAGTGGGTGTGGCCAAAGCTCTGGCCCAGCTGGAGACTAAGTGGAGAGAAGGAGACTTAACGAGGAGGGGCTACCTCAGGAGGCGTGGCCAACTCCTGGAGAACTACCCTCACTTGCGAGAGACCAACGGAAGTATTGTGTTTGGAGAGGGGGTGGGGCCAGTGGGCGGAGCTAACAGGAAACTACTGTCAGTTGATAAAGAATCCATAGGAGTGCAGGGGAAGTCTCTCAGTGATGATGTAATTAGAGCCATTACCAACTGGGAACGTCACCATGGACACTGGGTGAGTGGGCGGAGTCTGAGATGATTATACCAGTGATGTAATGATAATGTCATCAGGACCCGAACTACAAGGGGTGGGAGAGGAGGCGGTTGCCGTGGGAGAGACTGAGGATATTCCCGGAGGAGGGGGTGGACCCCTACTCCACGGGGCCTCGGAGGGGACGCCATCTCATGGACGTGTATGGAGACTCTCTCGGATTTGTCAATAAACTCCTGACTAAGGCGTACGGTCACGAGGCAAGGAAGGTCCCCGCCCACATGCCTCACATGATCAACAGGGAGGTGATGGAGGAGCTGCAGGCAAGGTATTTACTCCACATCCCCACTCCTTTTTTACTTTTACCTACTTACTTACTTACAGCTTCTACTCCACTAACTTTTACTCCACAGTTATGTTTATATACTCCAGATCTTACTCCACCTGTTACCCCACTCCAGATACCCCGAGGAATTTGAGGCGACATCATCACACAAGCTACGGAGCTCCGACGACATGCAGTTCTCATTTTCCTATTTCTATTTCCTGATGAGTGAGAAGAAAGTCATGGACATTTCAGACGCCTTCTCTGAGCTGGACTCTGACCAATCAGGGTGGGTCTAGCTGTCACATGACTACTCAGGTTAGACCATGTGATCCTCATAGGATTCTGTCTGTCCGGGAGCTGCGTACCCTGCTGGCGATGGTGAGCGAGCTCCCCCTTCATCTTGGAGTAGTCCACAGTTTCGAGTCTCTACTGAGAGAGTGTGATGACCAGTACAATGGGACCAGACCGACTGTGGACCCCATCGAGTATGAGACACACTACGATCCCAACCTGGTGAGCTTTACCACCAGTTACCTCGTCTCACTACTGGTCTTCATTTCTGTTTGGATGCACACACACACAAAGAAAACTTTACTGTTGTGTTTTGTGTCAAACATACCATGAGTAGTACAAGTGCTGCTCACCTCACAGGCATTAGGTAGTCGGTACAAGACTTTCAGACTTCTCAGAACATCAGTACGATCCAGCTGAACTGGACTCTAGAGCTCTCCATGTGGTAACAGGAATATCAGTTTTGGCCTTGGCCAACTTGTCATGGCTTATAAACTGTAGAGGCATGTAGTTGTAACAAAGGCAAGCCTTTGAAGTTCAGAGCTATTGTCTTAGTGACATAGTGAATAATAAAGCCTGTATATACATGTACATCATACATATCTGACAGGTCCCTGTAGTGACACTAAGTTGGTGATATTGTTTTTCCCCAAAGCCAGTCTTGAGTGCTGTGTTTTCACAGTGGCTGCCTGTTGTTTACACAGAGGAGCAGCTCTAGCAATGGTCTGTGTTGACCAACAGATGGTATCTGTGTGAGAGTGTTCTCCAGTAATAGTCCCTTGTGGCCCATGGTTTACTGAGGGGCACATTAGGAATGCAATCAGGACTGGTTACCAAAACTTCTGAGCTGAAGTAGTTTCAAGTGCAGTTGGCAGGGGAGGGTGCCATACTTAGCCCGTCTCCCAGGCAGCAAGCTGGCCCACTTCTCATCTTTTCCTTATCTTCTCCATGCCCTGAGCTCGTCACTGGAACACTTGCTTTGTTTACTGCAGACTCAAGGCTCTTAGTCTTGTACACCTCTTTACATTGTGTGGTACTGAAGGTAGTGTATCACACACACTGATGTAGCTGAGAGAGAGAGGAAGCCAAGCTAGGTCTGAATGGTGAATAGGTGAAGTGGGGCATCTGTTGCCAGCCCCTCATCTGAATGTGTGTTTTCAGCCCACTGTGTGTGTAGCGGCAGAAAGTTGTTCCTGGCACCAGATCCTAGTCAGGTCCTCTGCGAGGGTCAACAGCCGAGAGGAAGTAGTGTCTGCTACTGCCCACTCAACTAGACACATGACTGCTTTTCCTCCCTCCATCTCTCTTATCAATCTTATCTATCTTTACAACTCTCTTATTCCTAAACCAAACAGCCTCTGGTGACCCTGGACTTTGTCCGCAACTGCCAACCTCTCATACTGAAACTTAACTCGACATTTCACTCCAAACTGAAGTACAAGTGAGGCAACCATAGCTGTACCAGAGCACCTCCATTAATAATGTATTTCTTTCGCCTTTCCCTCGGTGTTCAAGATTCGAGGTAGTTGGAGAGGAGCAAGTAGCGTTCAAAATGATAAACGAAAATGCAACAAAAATCATGGAAATGTTGGATGAGATCAGGAAGGAGAAGAAGTGAGTGCTCATGTTATCTGTCATGTGACATGTGTCACATGTCATGTGATCCACCAGGAAGTTCATCTGTCTCAACGACAACATTGACCACTCTAAGGATGGAGCTCATCTGGTTGGAGAAGCTACACCCACTGTCATGTGACTAGTCATGTGATCTCTCCTCTGCAGGCCAAGCTGATTCTGTTGGACTTCTATGAGTCCATGTTTCCATTCCCATCACCGTTTGAGCTGCCTCCTCAGTACAGGAACAGGTTCCTGCATGTCTCTGAACTGAATGAGTGGTGAGGAGAGGGAGAAGGGGGAGAAAGGGGAAGGAGTGATGATTTCAATCTCTACAGGATGCAGTTCAGAGGGCGTGTCCAGCTGGCTCTCCACCTGGCATGCGGTGTTCTCCTCTCACTGACTGTTCTCTCTCTCTTCTATGGGAAGGTACGTGGACACGACACGTTCTTGACTTCACACATTCCTAACATACCTCCAGCCACTTGCTAGTGCACATTGGTAGTCCAGTAGGTCTTCAGTTGGACTCAGACCTCTACACACCCTAGAACTATGGGAACACCCACTGTCTGAAGTCACTCTCTCTGCCTATTATCTCATGACTTTTGCTTATCAGCACCCAGTTTAGTTCAGATTTCCCACATACCATCACCCCTAGCTTTGTTCTCTGTGTGCATAGCTACTAGCCCTTGTCTGATGTATGGATGAAGACACTGGGTGTGGTGTTCCTAGCAGCCCTTGTTCCTTACCAGTGAAATTATTAGGAAGACTAAGATGGTAGCAGGTATACTAGGAAATTCTTGAACATAAACTTCCCAAGTTAAATTTCCTTGGCCGCTGTTGTGTAATTCGTGATGACATAGTTGGAATGTGGAGGGTCGCAATCTGCATGCCTTCCTGGGTCGGTAATTGTGTTTATGTTTGTGTAGCCATAGCAACCAAGTGCATGAGGCCAACTGCATGCCAGGGATACCTAACCTGACCTGTTGTGTCCACAAAAGAAGGTGTCTGCCTCTTCATCACAAGGTGTGGTGGTCTAACCAAATTAGGCCATTTCCCCCTGGCAATTCTGGGAATTTCAAGGAAACCTTCACAAATTGCAGGAAATAATATTGAAAAAATCCTCCCTCTTAACTTTGAAAAAATGGGAGACCCTGAACCTCAAACTTCTCGTTTTGTTTCAGATTTTGCAGTGTAAAAGAAGATTGATGAGACATACCCTGTCTCTGGTCTCCAGTGAAAGAACTCGAACACCTTCAGTTTAGCAACCCACTCCCTTCATCATTATATCTCAGTTATGTCAAGAATTTAATGATTTTCTCAGTGCAGTATACACAGATACAGCTGATGGCATGGGGTTTATAATGGTGCCTTATATGGTGCTCTATAATATATCAGAGGGATGGGAGGGAGAGAGTTGTGTTAATACTGGAAGAGTTTGTGGCAATGTGTGATGAGAACTTCTACTGCCTTCCTCTGGTGGGGAAGTTTCTGGACAGCTGACAGATCTCCGGTGTTGTCAGGGGATCGCATGAGGGTAGGGGCAAAGACAACTGACAGGTTCTTGGCATCCATCCTGTTAGCCGACTTCATCATCTGCACTCTGGGGAGAGAGGTAGGAGAGAGGGGGTAATGTTCCTAGAAGTGTTTACAAGCCTGGCCAGAGGCAGCTGAAGCAGGAGGGCATGAGTCTTAAGGATTGAGGTGGGCCCCAAACAGAAGCCTACAGCAGTAGTACAGGCAGCTTTGTATCTTACACTGACAGTAGGCTAAGAATGGGGCTTTCTCTGACTATAGAACTTCCCCACTCAGCCACAAGAAAGGAGCATTAGTGCTGGCCTTCACACTCACTACCGCTAGTGCAAGCCTTCACAGTAGTGGAGGATTCACTGGTGCCCCCAGTACACATTGCTAGCAGTGGACTCAGCCACATAATGCCCCCACATTCACTAGTGTAGTACACATTGCTAGCAGTGGACTCAGCCACATAGTGTGGGAGTTTCTTGTAGACTAACTTGTAGAGATGTCTGAGGAGGTGTCTGAGAGTATTGTAGTGAGCTGGGGGCAGTCTGGACAGGGCCTTGCTCATGGTCTCCAGTCTCTCGTCCTGTCTCCTGCAACCTGCACACACAACACAACAAACGCTCAATACTCACTTCTTTCCTCTCTTTACAACTCTCTTTCTTGAAACTAAAGTGTGGCTCGAAACCAAGGACTACTGTATATACCTGCGGCAATAAGGGCCATGTCGTAGGCGTCGAATGTGATGAGAGGGACAGGCAGTTCTCTGAGGTACAGTTTGAGAGCTCCAGTGATGGCATGTGGGTCAACGTAGGCCTGCAGGTCCGCACTGGCATCTGCAGGGGAGGCGTGCAGGAATGTGTTGTCAGTACTGCGTGGGAGTGGGAAGGCTATGCTTGGCCTGCCATGGGAACCCTATACCAGATCATCTGGTGGATAAACAACCAATAACCCACCACCTTCTGTTTTCCTATACCTCTGTCGAATTCCTTCTTGATCTTCAACACTTCACTAGTCATCCCTGACACTCTGTACAGCCCCTCCAGACCCAGCCCTAGTAGAGATAAAGAGAGGTTAATGCAGCTGTAGTATAGAGTCTGGTGGGCTCTGTACCTCTCTTTTCCACCTCCTCGATGCAGCTGCTGACCACTACAGGGACCTTGGTTCCATGCATCTTGACCAGAGTGGTCAGTTCCACACAGTAGACTCTCTTGACCAGCAGTCGAGATGGCTGGCAGTCCAGACCCGTCTCCCCGCGACACTGCTTGTGAACATTGTACCCACAATCTGAGAGAGAGAGAGAGAGAGAGAGACACGTAAAGACGGTGTATTGGGAGAGATTAGAAGGAAAGAGAGGGTTTGTTTACCTTTGCAACGGTAACCTTGGTTTCTCAGACCCCACATGAAGTTACGGCAAAATTCGCACCATGCTAGGCCAATATAGTTGTGCAACTGGAGAGAGGAGAGAGGAGAGGGGAAAATGAAGAAGCCAACTATGACTAGTAACTGCTGTTCAGCTTTACATAACAGCTGCTCCTCATGTACCAAAAGACACCACACTCCCTGTGTCTCCACCCCGCCCTCTCTCTGACTGTCAGTGAAGACATTACCTTGAAGCTGTGAGGCTTGTCGTAGTGGAAATAGAAGAGAGAATTCTGCTTGTTTTGTTTGTACTGCGATACCTGCAGGCAGGAGGGAAAGATGACCACTGCAAGTTAGGGTTGTGTACCCAGACACTCCGCCAACACAAACTCACTAACTACAAACATGTGGCACTAGCTCTGCACAAACACTGCATTCTACAGACTAGCTACTCACTCTGTGCTGTCCGAATGTGATGTCCTCCACCTCATCATAGGCTCTGGGTCTCCTCACTCTCAGACTGTGCTCTGAAGACCCACTGGACACACTAACAGATCTAGACCTCTCTCTCTCTTCTCGTGGGAGGGACGGTTCACAGGAGGCCGGTGGAGGGGAGATGAGAGCTGGGGAATGGGGTGGAGGAGAGGGTGTGGCTTCTTCTGCTTCTTCCAGTAGCGGCTCTGGTTTGGCGGAGGCCTGGGGGTGTGGTCTGGGGAGTGTGATAGGAGGGAGGGAGGAATAGGAGGATGAGGAAGAGGTGGTGAGTCGACGAGTCCTCCTGCGAGCAGTCTGAAGATATTCCTCCACATTGTTGGCCTCCATGTACAGAGTAATGAGTCCATCTTGAACCAGGTCCTCGATTGTGTCAAATGGTTTCTCACCTGCACAGAGAAGAAAGAGAGAGGTGTCTGAAAAATGGAAAACAACTGTCTCAATTGTACCTACCTACAAGATGGCGCTTCTCCTCAGCATCATAGTAGAGTCTGTAGTGCCTCACCTGCCCACCAAATCTGGAAACAAGAGAGAGAGACGTTGAAAACACCAACATTACACCTCATATAAAGTTGTGGCTAGCAGCAAGTCCAACTGGCAGTCAACACACACCACTACAGGAGTTCTCTGTGTACAACTGACTCACACAAAGGACAGGCTGTAGGAGCCAGCATGGCTGAGGCCACTGCGGACAAGATAGTTACCCTCAGTTGTACCCAGGAGTTTACTGGTCTCCTCTCGTGAGATACTGCCATGGAACCTATGGGGACAGCAGACGATCATATTGTATCACAGCCACTTCGCATTACACTTACTCTTCTCCGTAGTAGGCAGGGCAGCCTGGGAGCTGAGGGAAAGAAAGAGAGGAGAGGGAGGGAGAAGGGGGAGGGAATTGTATATTAAAGACTGCTGGCATGGAGCTGAGATCGGCAGACAAAAGCCGACCACAACTCAATAGGGAGAGTGCACATGCAGAGATTGGGAGTATGATGAGAGCTCTGGCAGCAAAATCCTCCCCTGGACTCACCTCTGCAGAGCAGGGAACACACCGAGGAGATGGTGCCTTCAACTGTAACTGGTACACTGAGGAAAAGACAGGCCACCATAATATTCACGGGCAGGGTAAACCTCTTGCGTTGACCACAAACCACCTCAAGACCTCAAGCACCGCAAATTAGAGTCCCCAGTGCACCGGGATTTGTTTACGAGTGCCTTGAAAGTCGAAGTACCAGTAGCTAGCATTCTAAACCCCACACATGCAGCTACCGCAACTGTCTAATAATTATGCTACGAACGAACTACAATCGTCTTGAGTAGCGTAGCTGCAGTTCATCTGAGCTAGTATATAGCTAATTCGCACACGGTGCGGTCGGCCCGCCGCGGAGACTTACAGTAAGGATCCCAATACTCGGCTAATTCGTCGTTGTCGCTGTGGTAGGAGCCATCGTCTCCGCTGGACGGCGAGGAGGACTCCACCAGCCCATAGTCCACCGCCCCCTCTCCTTCGCTCTCGCTGTCCGTCGCTGCGAGTTCGTGCAGTTTGGCCAGCGTGTCGTATTCCCCGCTCGAGCTCTCTACTAAGATCATTCCCTGTCTGCGATTCATCTTGCGGTTCCACTCAAAGTAACAATGAAAACTGTTGATAGCCACGAAAATAAAGTCGGAGTCAAGTGGCGACCACTTTATGGAATTCTTTGTAGTTTGCAAATGCCGCCGCGCGCGTGTCCACTCCGCACACGCGCACCCGCGCAATATCCGAATCCATCCTAGCGATGTCGGTCGGACAGGAAATGAAAAGGTTCTGGAAGTGTGCAACTAGCGGAGGCAGGATGACGAAAAAGCACAGGATATGGTGAGTGAGCACACCGCCCCAGATGTTATGTAATTGACCTCTCTTTCTACCAGTATGATATCTGACTTCTTCTTCCCTAATATGGGAGGAGTGGAGAACCATATTTACCAACTGGCACAATGTCTCCTGGCCAGGGGTCACAAGGTCAACCACGATGTAATAGTGTGACTTCTGAAACCCACTCTCCTGTTGTATAGGTGGTGGTAATTACTCATGCTTATGGTGATCGCATTGGCGTTCGCTATGTCTCCTCATTCTTGAAGGTCTGTACATTACATCATCAAACCTTCATCCCCTCCCCCTCTCTATGAAGGTGTACTACATACCAATTCGACCGTTCTACAACCAAGTGACGGTGCCAGTCATGTTAACAGCACTCCCTCTCATCAGAGACATTCTTATTAGAGAGAGGATCACAATTCTTCATGGTCATGGGGTGAGTTGACTAGTGGGGAGTTCCTTCTCTCACATGCAGTCCTAGTGTAGTGGATTCCAGTCTGTAGTAATTAATATGCACTCTTTGCACTCTATGTATGTAGCCAGTCGACACTTTTCAGTTTGAGTTCAAAGCCAAGAACTGGTGTTAGGGTAGGTGAAAGTATTGTGGTGTAAGGTGTGTGAGGCAGCGGGGTGGAGAGATGGACTAATAGGGACATGATTAAACTGAGGAACAAATTGCACATTCCTCCATCTGAGGCTAAGGAACTACAGCACTGCGAGCCATTCAGACTTCTCTCGCATGACAATAGATTGCACGTTGTAGCTGCTACTTTCAGTTTCCAAACATGGTCGTGTGACGTTCTTCCTCTGCAGGCATTCAGTGCTCTGTGTCACGAGGGAATCCTCCATGCCGGGACGCTGGGAGTCAGAACAGTCTTCACAGACCACTCTCTGTTTGGGTTTGCTGACGGGAGCTCCATTCTCACTAACAAACTGCTGGAGGTGGTCCTCACCGACATTGACCATGTCATATGTGTCTCCTACACCAGGTCTGTAGGAGACTTGTTGTCACCATTCCCAGTCGTCCCCAAACCTTCAAACAGTATCCAAACATGTGTTCCACTCTCCTCTCTCCCTGGCAGTAAGGAGAACACAGTTTTGAGAGCAGCCCTCAAACCAGAAACAGTTTCGGTCATTCCAAATGCAGTGGACTCAGTTTGCTTCACTCCTGACCCTTCTCAGAGCCAGCCTGACAGAGGTGTGCACCTACACCACACTGCAGAAACCTCCCTCCCCCCTCCCTCCCTCCCTCCAGTGACAGTGGTGGTGGTCAGCAGACTGGTGTACAGAAAAGGTGCAGATCTACTGGCTGGTCTCATTCCTCTGCTGTGTCACACACACAAAGACCTCCACTTCATCATAGGTTACCATATATTGTATAACACATTATACTAATACCTGCGTGTATCTGCTAAGAACACTTCTGGCGATACATTTAGTCAGTAAAACTTCAACAAGTCCAGTATGTGTGTGTAGGAGGAGATGGACCAAAGAGGGTGGTACTGGAGGAGGTGAGAGAGAAACACCAGCTCCATGACAGAGTCTCCCTCCTTGGAGGTCTCCAGCACTCACAGGTATACACTTCCTCCTCATCAAGCTCTCCCACCCCCACTGACTTACCACAGGTGAGAGGTGTCCTGGTCCAGGGAGACATCTTCCTCAACACTTCCCTCACTGAGGCCTTCTGCATTGCCATTGTGGAAGCTGCCAGCTGCGGGTAAGTCGTCTTAGATCAGTTCACTTTTTGTGCCAGGAAACATTTTTACAGTGACCCATTTTCTCTTGAGTGTGGCAGGAAAGTAGTGGCACATTTGTTCGTTCCAAAGCCAACAGTCATTTCAACAGACTGCAGGTTATAAGCACAAGAGTGGGTGGAGTTCCAGAGGTGTTGCCTGACGACCTAATTTCTCTGGCCGACCCTAACATTAATGGTGGGATTGGCTCTTGCTAAACCACACCCACCTCTTTATGCCTTCATACAGCACTTGCTAAAGCACTCGAGGAAGCCATAGAAAATCATCGCCATGGAAACCGCGTCCCCCACTGGGAGATGCATGAGAGAGTTGGGAAGATGTACACATGGCACAACGTAGCTCGTCGCACAGAGCAGGTCACAGTCCTGATGCCAAGACTCTGGATTAGGCTAATCCTACCCTCCCTCCCTTTCTCCCAACACTGCCTGTGTACAGGTCTATGATATGGTGGCCAGAGCTCCCACTAGATCAATGTGGCAGCGGATGCAGAGGTAAGTCCTCGACCCTCACAACTCCCTCCCCTCTCTACCATGTCTCCAGGTACCACAGTCGAGACCCTGTCATGGGGAAAGTGTACGTCGCTCTCCTTGTCCTCCTCCACTTCCTGACTCAGCTGGTTGCTTGGTGGAGTCCTGCCAAGGTTAGCCCACCCTCCCATCCTTTCTCCACCTCCTCCCTTCCTCCCTCCACAGACAATTGACTGTGTTCCTGACCTACTAACCTCTGAACACGATGAAAAGCCCTAAAGTGCAAACCCTCGGCGCACTAGAAATGTAAACATGCGCACTAGAATCCTCATCACTATAGATAAAGCTTTGTTGTCTCGTTGCACGTGGTGCCAGAAAACGTGGTAGCAGACACACACGCTGCGCATGCGCGCCGAAAGTTAACTAGCCTTTATCACCCATCACTTCACGCTCCCAGTTGCCAAAATTGACTGTACAATAAATCATCATAATTATTGACTGTTAGTGGATGGCACACACCAAACTCAGTTCTTGTAGCCCCTACTCTTTCTGCGACCTCTTGCCTTCTCAAACTTACGACCCTTGCTTCTCACGTACGGTCTGCAGAGACAGGGTGTCACCAACAACTCAGAGATGACAGAGTGGCTTACTTGGCGTGGCTGTGAGGTACACCAGGAGCTCTTCCAAAGTGTTTCACGGCCTCACGCGCCTTACGAGGACCTGCAACCACTACATCAACACTAGCTACCATGGGGAATAAGAGAAAGACCTTGGAGCAAGATGGTGTTTTGTCCACGCGGAGCTTGCAGTGCCAGCTGGTCAAATGTCAAGATCTCGCCACCAGCCTTTAGGATCCTAGCTCTCGCCCCCTCAGTCACACGAAGAGCACAGATCTAGTGAGAGAGAGATCACTCTGTATATTATACTCTCACCTAACAGCCGTTTCTAACCTTCAATTTAGGGAGTTTGAGGATGCGCAGGTCATTAGTTATGGTTCCCACTACAACGGCAATCTTGTCCTTACGATCTCCACTCTTCATGTGACGTACCTGCACAAACACACTTTTGGTGAACAGGTGGAAAATGATTTGTCTGAAATGTGAAATTGGTATCACGTGATCCTCTTACCACTCTTGCCAGAGAAATGGGTGGTCGGTGGATTCTGCTCATGTAGAGTCTCTTCAGAAACTACTTTATTGAATGGAGCGTCCACCCTGCGAGCCAGGAACCGGTACAGCTGTGGAAACGGTATATATCTGAGTACTACTCCGTCTCCTCTGGCCTCACCTTCACGAGGAGACGAAGGTATGGGTCGTCTGACACGGGCTCCCTCCGGACCGACTTCTTGACCTTATGGTTGATGTCCACCCCCTGCAATCACAACAACCACAGTCACTGGCTTTGGAGGATGACTGCACTGCTCCGCGGAGCTTTTCCGTTAGTCGATGAGGAGAGATTCGCTTACCATCTTCTCTTGATCTTATCTAGCGCGCGACGTACGTGACTTCTTTTCAGCCGCCGCGGCAATCACGTGTGCGGCGGATTTTCGACGCGCATGCGCAGTAAATACGGTAATACTCAACTGGCAGGCAACACCAGGCCGTTCAAGAATGCCAGGAACAATTGAAAATTGCATAGCTATGATTACAATGGAACGCACACTGACACACAGAAAGTGATGGGATTGAGTTCAACTCTCTAAATGTATGGTTAGCAGCTCAAGAAGAGTCCCAGACAAGATGCCCAGAGTGATGCTGATTTGAGTCAGGTTGATACACAACTGCCGATCTGCATCTGGGAACTTCGCCTCCGTTCTCAGGAGGTAGAAAATGTTGACATACGCAGCGCCTGAAGACAGGTCAGAATTTGCTAAAAGGAGGCAGTCTAGCTATCTGTGTCTGCAAATAGCCAAAATTGGTGGTGGCTTTTGCTAAAAGTTTGTGCACTATTACAAAATATTTTCAAGACTCTAGCAGAAGTGACTCCTGAGTATGTATATACATTGCATTTTCGAGGCTCTAGCTTGAGGACCTACAGTATATATAATGTGACCAACTCACCTCCCAACAGTCCCACGTAGACCATGAAACTAGGAAGAACATAGGTGGGGAGGAAGTACCACTGGAAGAGGAGTGAGAGGAGATGGAAAGAGTCAGTGGGTGTGTGATTGAGAGTTGCTCACCAGTGGCAGAAGGGCCCATATGATCATGTTGATGAACTGGAGGAGGGAGAGGACGAAGACTCGTCTGATTTTGACCAGACCCAGAGAGGAGCGTGAGACAAAGACTCCAGCCTGGTAGCACAGCTGGAGGGAGGCAAACAGCTCCGGGCACGACGTCTCATTGTACTCTGACTGGTGGTGGATGGAGTGAGGGGAGAGGAGAAGGGGGTAAAGTATATAGTGAGAGAAGAGGGGAAATCAATACCTTTGGTCTGGCCTTGCTGGCTGCTCCTCTTGCCATGTATTCAAAGAGGTAGACTGCCCCTAGCTGTGAGAAAAGGGGAGGTGTGACGGGGAGAGAGGGAGGAGAGAGAGACTGACATTCAGAGCCAGCCACCAGATGAGTCGCAGACAGCGCAGAATTCTCCACTGAAAGCCACACCTCACACCCTCTCCTTGCTCACTTCCATCAGCTCTCCTCACATTAACATCACTGTCTTGGATAGTGCGGGGTTCTGCTGTTTTGGATTACATAATCATAACATCCTAATTACGTATACTTGCCTGTGTGACCAACAAGTCGACTTCGCTCATCATCTTCTGGTGGTGGGGATTCCCCCTTTGTCAGTATGAGAAAGTATGCCAGCCAGTAGAGCAAGACCACTGGTACAGTGGCAAGGAATGCAAACCTGAAAACTCATGAACCACTCTTGAATTTGAATTGACTACAGAGAAATTGAATATGATTGCAAGCCTCACTTGTTCATAAACTTCAGTTTGTGTGTCAGATCATCTGTGTGTCCTGGCTCAACAGTCTCAGCTGCCACACAGGCTGCAGTGAAACAATGGAGGGGAGAGATGTGGGTGGATAGTGAGACGAGGAGGACAGACTGAGGAGGATGTAAAGAACTGCTCCACTGACTCCAGCAAACCCCGTGCCACTGGACCACGCTGTCAGGAGCCTCTTGTCCCGTGTGTGGAGGTAACCCAGAGTGGTGCTGGGGAGAAACCAGGGAAGATGGCAGCTGATCTTGACAGTACACGAATGGTTTTTACTTCTCTCCAAATGTTGAGGACAGTCCACACATGACTATTCCAATGAGAGCTATCCAGAAGTTGGGAGTGAAGGCAATGAGAATAAGTCCTGCAGAACCACAGGACTATTATACAGCTACAGTCAGTGGTGTCTTGGGACTGCACTACATACCTCCCAACATGAGGACTCCGTTGCCCAGGAACCTCACCCAGAACGGTACCACCTTAACCAGTGTTAGAGTTGTGCTCAGCCCTGTGTGGAGGGTGGAGGTTTATGCATGCAAACAAAGGTGTCTGTTTTATATCCTTTGAATCCAGACTTTACTAAGCACAGAATCCCCCATTCAAAACACGAAGTCCATTGGTAGCCTGCTTACTTCAACCTCGTTCTACTTCTCAATAATAAGTGTCTCTGCATCAATCTCACCTCCTCCAAAAAGACCAAATGCAACATTAGAGAACATGACCAGAGGAACTAAGTTAGTCTTGTTGAAACTGCGAAAACACAAGGTTGGACTCTCTTATTCACAGTGGAGCTGAAATGCTGCAAACCTTGTGGCTAGTATGTTGGCGGATGAATTGACGACTACGTACGGCAAGTTATTGATAGTCCCCATCAAGAACAGTGCGATCTATGACAATACGATCTACTGAAACCTGCATGACGCGTTGTCTGTATACTTACCCAGTCTCGCAGACTATCGAATCTGGAACGAGCCATCCCTGCCTCACAAATCTGCAGACTTCCGCATAAAATATAGGGGCGGGGTCAAAGACGGCGACCTGAAAGATGGAGCGCTGGAGGGTGGGAGCTATATCAGCGGCGGCGGGGTTTGTGGCAGGCGTAGCTGGCACTGTGCTGGCCTCCTGGACCGTCAGAAGGCTGATGAGGAGCGAGGGTGTCCAGGCAATGCGGAGGAGAAAGACGGGCAGCGACACTCGAGGCATGAAGCTCTACCACAGCTTTCCCTTCCGCTCCAGTCGCTGTGCGTGGCTCCTGGCGGAGCTGGGCAAGACGGAGGAGGTGGAGATAGTGCCTGTGTCCCTGCACGGCTCCGAGGCCAGCGACCTCATGACGTACCGCACCGTACACCCTCACGGCACTCTGCCGGCTCTCGTCCTACGAGACGGCTCCGTTCTGCTGGAGTCGTCAGCAATCTGCCTCTACTTGGCCGACAACCTCACCTGTCCGGACGGTACTACGTTACTACCGGACAAGCAACAGCAAGCCCACTACTACAAGTCAGTTGTATATAGGAGGATTGTGTTCCTGTGTATGTGAATAGGCACCTCCTCCCCCAATTTACAGCATAATCTGTTATGCAACATCGACATTTGACATCATCTTGGAGCCACTGTACATGCAGTTGACCCACACTCCAGTCAACCAGCGGAACACTGGACTTGTGGACACCATGACTCGCAAGTTCCACATCTGTGCCAACGTCCTGTCCAGCCATCTGTGTGGGCAGGCGTTTGTCTGTGGCGACAAGTTCACGGCAGCTGACTGTGTGTTGGGGTTCAACGTGTGGTGGGCCAGTGTGATAGAGGGAGGGGCTCTGCTGGAGGAGTACCCAGTCCTCAGAGACTATCTGGCCAGGCTGCAGGCCCGACCTGCCTTTGAGGCAACGCTGAAAGGCAAGAGGCCAGTGAAACCTAGTGGAGGTAGTCTGTGACAGTCTCTCTGGATCACGTTGGTAGTGGTCTGGCTGAGATAACTCTAGACGCAGTTCGATTGTGTGTGTTTGTCTGTCTGTGGGTTTTGTACAGTGCTAGAAAGTCTAATAGGTTATAAAGTTATAATGAAAGTATACACAGACACACACCGAACACAGCTATTGCGTCAAACAAACACCTGTTGGCATCAGTCATCCAGCTGGCAGAGAATGGCGACTCCTCTGTTGACCCAGTGGCTCTCGTGCTGGTCTGAGGGGAGGGAAATCATCATGACATAGTTAGTGGAGTGGCCTGTGGTGGACAGAGTCCCTCGGCGAGCACTTGTCTTGTAGACCGGAGAGAAGTATGTTGGTTTGACCTGAAACTGGTCTCGTCGGCCAGGCTTGGCCCAAATCTACAGGAGAAGAGAGTAAACAATACATATATACAGTTGGTGGTGTTGGAGGAAAGGTTCTTACAATGGGGAGAGCATCAAAGAGGATTTTAGGATTGGATTCTCCAATAAACTTCTTCTTTCTGTCCCACCTTGCTCCCTCCATAAACAGTCCCTGCACAGAGAAAAAAATAGTATCGGCATTAGAGAGGCTTGGGTAGGATGTAAATCTGAAAGGCAATCTGCGAAAAAAGGTGAACGTTGTTAAATACCTTGATATAGGCTCCGTCCTGGGGTCTGGAGACACCTTCTCCATCGTCTTCCATATCCATCACCTCAAACTCGAACCCAAGATGGTCAATAGGAATAGTATACTTGCGAGCATAGTTCTGTAGAACACCTGCATATTGTAGATCAATGTGTAGGCTGAATGGAGCCGAGGGACAGGGGTAAACATATGCACCAGTGAGGAAGGACTGGGTGAAGTAAAAGCCTGAAATCCAAAAGACAACTGGTGTTCCACGGTCAATCCAGTCTTGGAAGAACTTCAGCCTACAACAACCAACAAGTCAACTCACTGGTTTCACTCCATTCGTGTACATCATGAGCACTTGTACCCAATGATTCAGAGTATGTAGCCTACAATGTGAGGAAGGCTCAGCTCACCTAGCCAGCAGGTCAGTGATGTAGCTACCGAGAGGTTTGAGAGAAGGGTAGGACTTGGCAGCCCACACTGCCGGCACCTTCCCCACTGTCATACTGACATACACATCTTCAAGCTCTGCTGACATCACCACCAGCCCCTTCATTGCCTTCTGCATGTTCTGCAGCGTCGATCGGACCACACTGGTCAGTCGGTTGAACCTGATGAGTTCCTGTCTCAGCACAGTGTTCATTGACTCCTCATACCTCACTGGATATGCCTCCATCACCTGCACAGGCACATGGAGCAGTAGCTACAGCCACACTTAGAGAGAAAGAGACCTTCTCAAGGTTGAAGTCAGGAGGTAGTTTGGAGAGAATGTCGCTGGCCAGTTCGTCCACCACTTGCTGCTGGTTCTTGCCACCTCCTCCGGTCTGGCGGGGCAGTGTCAGGAGAATACTGTCAAACAGCTGCTGCGTCTCCTGCTGGTCTTTGGTGATGTCGGCATTTTCGTGGAGACCAAACACCTCAGGGTGGGGAGTGAGCGGCAGGGTGCGGAGGTATTCGATGTAGCTCTCATACTCTCCGTGAGGCGGGGCTTTGTACAGACCACTGGGAGAGAATCTAGTGTGGAATGTAAACAAAGATTTGTGTCTTCTGTTCCAGTGGGGTGCTCACATGTACGAGTCATCCTGGACGATGTTGAGGCAGTAGAAGATGGAGAGGAGGGAGACGAGGAGACGACGGTCCCAGTCATCTGTCACTCGACCTCCGTAGTTACACTGACCAGTCAGGTAGGTGAGCGCATCCAGTGGCAGGTCCTCATAGTCATTCAGAAACATCTGTGTGCGTGTGTATGTGTGTGTTGGGGGGAGGGGGGTGCGAGATAGGAATAGGTACAGAATGTGATACTCAGAAGTACAAAAGATGTGTGTATGTTGGGGGGAGGGGGGTGCGAGATAGGAATAGGTACAGAATGTGATACTCAGAAGTACAAAAGATGAAGACACTTGTGGCTTCGCCTCTTGTTACAGAAGTACAAAAGGTGAACACAATTGTGGCTTCACCTCTTGTTACATTACATTATCAGCACCATCAGAGCATTGTGTCTTTGCACTGTTACTGAATACCATTGGACCTGCTTGTTGCTATGTATCTTTCAGTTTCACTCTTGGAACTGGACCTGTCTACCCTTGAGAACAGAAAGACCTGGAGCTCTAACCTGATGAGTTCTTCCCAACTCTACCAGACATTAACAAGGTTTGTATGTAGGTAAAGCGAGATTGTTTCGTTGGCTCCCTACAAATGCATGCAGTGTGTTGTTTGACACAGGTTTTCTGCATGCAGTGAGTTTTTAATAAGATGACACAGGTTATCTCTATATGTACCTACAAGTGTATGCAGTGTTTTAAGCAATCTTCTTGTGGCCCCTTGCACTGATGCCCTAGTTTACCCTCGGCGCGCATGCGCAGCGAGGGTACGCGATCCATGCGCGCCGAGGGTAAAAAGATGCGCACGGCTCACTGATGAGGGCGAGCACACAGGGAAGCGAGGGGTACGGAAAATGCTGATGTTCGCCAGATACAAGTCGCCAGTCGGTTGAAGATCCATATCTTCTGTCAAAAGGGGTCCTTATATCCCTCCCACTAGTGGTTTGTTTCTCGTAATTGTCGCCATGAACCGTCTTGCTAACCATGGTATAAATTTGGATGTGTGCGAATCAGAGTTAGAGAGACAACTCCTGGTGCACTCTACTTGACTCTTTGACTACCATGGACCTCACCTTCTTCAGTCATGTGTTATGCTTCCTACATGTTTTTTAACTTGTCTGTATACATGTCATGCCCGGGCGGGCCATTCAAACATGAACTTTGAACGCTGTTACTCTACATCTCACTTCTCGAGTGTTCGTTCGTCTCACAAAGGATGCGACCTACTTAACGGGCAATGAAGGTCAGAAACAGTTTTCTCTCAAAATGCTCCGTTGCAAAGCTGGAGCGCTTCCAGCAATGTATTATTATACGGCGTAGTCGGCCTGCGGAAAATGTGCATGCGCATTATATTACCACAGGCTCGACCAGCTCTGCTATATATCAGTATAGCAAAACTGTTGTTCATAGACCTATGCTGCGCCAAACTAAACCAATAATGAATCAGAGTAATATTCACCTGCTGCTGCTTCATGCTGATCCGGAGATCACTTTCATTGAACTCATAGGGAATGTTCCAACCCAGGGCGCCAAACTTCCTTCTCTCCTGCACCAGAGCATGGAAGAAACAGAGACCAAACAGCAGCTTGCGCCACGTCTGGGGTTTGTTGCAACCCTCGAAGAAGGTGGGGTCAGATATTGGGTCGTTGAGGTAGGAACGGAGGAGGTTGGCACGCATTCCTTTTGGAGGTTCATTTGTCATCTTCACCCCTGCACGGATGGAGTCAGTGGATATGGTGAGTGGAGGGAGGGAGCAATGTATGCACCGTTCTGGAGGATGGAGACAGGGAAGTCCTCTGAGGGGTAGGAGGTGAGCCAGAGACGGAACTCCTGGTGAGTCACGTCAGGAACAATGACCTCCTCGCATATCTTCTCCAACTTTGGCATCCATGAGGTTGCCAGGTGGCAGTTCTGCAGAACCACCCACGTTCCCTCCTTGATGGCTGTGGTGATCATCTTCTCTGCTATGGGACCCTACAGTGTGTGTGAAAGGAAAGAGAATGAGACACTGGCTCCCCCTTTCTCTGTGTAATTACCTGTCCCTGGCCAAGGGAAATGGACTGACAGCGATTGTCTCCAAATCCCTTGTCTGCTGCAAACTTGAGGAGCCCAGCCATTGGGTCAGCTCCAGGTGACAGGACAAATATGAGAGGAGCGCAGCAGTGGGAGTCTGCAAAACTCCCAGCCAGGTCAAAGGTCGGAGGTTCAATATACTCTCGGCCCATTTGGTCGACGATGAAGTTCTGGACGGCAGGCACCATCTTGTCAGGTCGCACGCAGCGGAGGACAACCATTCTGTCCAGGCCTCGCAGCTGGAGGTCCCACTTGCCTGGCAGAGGAGCTGTCTCGGGGTTGGGGGAGTCGTAGAGTGCCTTCCACTGTGACCCAAAGTCCTGCATCCAGCCCTTGAGGTTGGGGAGATCCGACGCCCTCACCACCTCTCCCCAGGACTTGTCTGAGAGCCACTGGGGATTGGGGTTTGGGTGGGGATTCTCGAGAGCCACGCCTCCTGTGAGGAGGAATCGCCACACCTCCTCGTCCACCTCTTTCCTGTGCAGAGAGGAAGCCTCAGTTACCATGAGAAAGAGTTGGATTACCTGCCCTTCAGGATGCCGATACAGAGGATGAATGAGAAGAGAAGTTTGTCCTTTTCAAAGAGAGAGCGACAGACGTTGTTGTATATGCTGCGAGTGAAGTGGTCATTGAGATGGTGGATACGCTCCTGAAGATAGAGTTGGGGCAGTGGACACATTTTCTAACATGAGTATGTGTAGGCCACACCTGAAGATCAGAAGACTTGGTGCTGTTGGCGACGGACTGGATGTATAAGTTGATGAACCAGACCAGAGAGTACTGGTACATGGGCTCTATGTTGGCAAGGTCAGAGATGCAGAAGAAGAGGATGGAGGCATGCGTGGCCACTGGTCGGTATCCGTTGCGAGTCTGATCTATCTCCACCTCTGTCGCAGCTGCTATCTCCTGCTTCGCTGAGATCTCTGCGGCGAGTTTCTTCGAGGAAGACAGGACCTTGATGGCTGTCTCGTCCTCCAAGATGTTTCCCTGTTACCAGAGGAATGGTGATCACGGGAGGAGAGAAAGAGATGACTGACCTCTGAGGAAGAGAGCACCTCGAGAATCTTGTCCTCAATCTCCTTGAGCTGTTTCTGGTTCTTGGCTGACTCCACAATCAGCTCGTTCTTCTTCTCCTCCAGCTCCGGCTTCTCCTTCGCAGCCACGATACCCAGCAGCTGGTCCTGCAGGCCTTGAGGAGTGATCATGAAGTTCAGCAGTGTCACCTGAAGATAGTGTATGCAGGTGAGAGGACCTGGCAGGAGGGAGAGCTATTGGTGGTTTACCTTGACCGAGACCTCAGGGAGGTAGTGTGGGTTGCGCAGTCGTGTTGTGATGTACAGATGAAAGTCCTGACTGTACTCAATCACAGCCTCTCCCAGTCTGATGTACTGGAGTCAGAGGGTGAGAGTCACTCAGCCAAGGGCCCACTAACCTACCTCTACTCCGGACTGTTTGAAGGTCTGTTTGAGCAGCAGTGGCTCCAGGAGAGGGTCCAGCTCCTCCCCCACATTCTCCAACAGAACCGGAGTCCCAAACTGAATGCTGTTCTCTAGAGTCCTGGAATAGTTGGGGTCTGAGAGCTTGATCACTGAGAGCTTGTTTGGTCGCTCCATGTTTTTCACCCACTTGTTGGCCTGACCTGCCGGAGGAGACTAAGCTGGGGGTGTGGTCAGGTGGTGTGCCTTACCTTGAGGGTCGATCATGAGTGGCCAACGATTGGAGTTGAATATGATGATGCCATTCTCGACAGAGAAGGAGTCAACAGGGAGTCCGTCAATGCTCCACTTCCTGATTTTTACGGGTTCACCGAGAGTGGCAGAGACGGAGAAAGAGGGGGAGCAGGGAATGGCCTTCTCCGTGCAGAGCCCGTGCCACTCTCTGACACAGTCAGTGCGAAAGTCAACAGTGAAGGCTCCCAAGTAAGCCACTACTCCCGACGACACCAGCACATCTCCTATCACATTCGTGTACCTGCATGAGACCAGTAGTCTACTCCACCCAACACCTCATGCACGTCAGACCAAACCTTTCTCCCAGCTCCTTGGCAGCCTGACTCCATCGATCTTTCTCTCCCCCGAGACCTCCGATGAGTTTCTCAGCTCTGTCAAGTTTCTTGGTGCAGAGATCAATGTTTGCCTCAAGATTCTCCTTCTTGGTCTGCATGGTCTGGAACTGATCATTGAGAGCCTGCAGTTTGTCTGGTGGAAAAACACAGAGGATTAGCTAAAGACTGATTCAACACTAGTTAACGAGTACCGAGCACTTCCTTGAGTTCAGCTCTCTTTTCGTTGAGCTTCTTCATCTGGACAGCCAACTCAGCCTCAGCCTCTGCCAGTTTGATCTTCTTGGGAGCCACTACTTTGGCGACTCTGTCGTATACGTCCATGGCCCTCACCCACTGACACAGTCCCTCGCAGGCGGCAGACGCTGTTTTGATCACCTCTGGTCTGAACTCCTCCTTGGAGCAGTAGCTGGAGAGAGGTCAGTGAGAAAGTTGGCCACTGAGAAGTTGGACTGGAGACCTCACTTGTCTCTTATTTTCTTAATGATCTGTGGATTGATGTTGTCCTTGTCGTAGCTCTTCAGGGAGTCCAGAAACTTGAGGTCACTCAGCAGCTTCTGAGAGGGTCCCCAGAAGTCCTCCACCATCTTCCCACTGCCCGACGGGTCTGGTTTCCTCTCTGGTTTGATTGCCTTCATGATGCATACTGCCTCCATCACCAGCTTCACCAGAGCCGGAGGGTTCTGTGGGTGGAGTTGGTGGGTGTGGCCTTGACAAGTCAGCAGGGTCTATACCCACCTTCATTGACTTGACGAGAGTGATGTCTTTGGAGGTGAGGGTGTTGAGAGCATTGATAGCTGCCTCCAGAGCAGGGATGGCCTCTGCCAGATCAGCTTCACACTCATCTTTGATAGCCTGGGACTTGCTGGCAGCCTCATTGGCCACTGCCTCGTCTGCTGCCACCACCTAATGCAGGGAGCAGGGTACAAACTGGAGCTAGTGGTGCTGATTATGACGTACCTGTTTCTTGGCCTCAGCTTCTACCGTGTCCTTCTCAATTTTGACCATCAGCTCATCCGTCTCCTTGGAGGTCTGCACAAGCTGAGGCTGGAGCTCCTGCAACTCTTGCTGCATTACTGAGACCTGCCCCGCTGCAAACTCCAGTTTCTCTAACCCCACCACATATCTCTGTCGCATGCCGTGGATTGCCTGCCTCCGGCGACCCAGCAGCATCTTGAAGGTGAGGATCAGCTCCAGGTACGAGGTGGGAGTGACATAGTTTTGTCGGCGGAGAATGGCGTAGTAGCGGTCAGAGAGAGTGCGGACACTCTGGTGGAAGTGCTGGCAGAGGGTAACACACTGGCCCCTCATCTGGTCACTCATGTCTACATCTTCCAGGAACTTGTTGGCCACCATCTCCAGAGCATCGCTGGGCCATGCCTGCAGTGATCAGGTACATAATATGATATTGTCATACAGCCATATATACTGCCATATATACCTGGAACCAGTCGATGGTGCAGCAGTTGATGAGAGAGGGAAACATTCGAAGTCGGTTGCGGAAGGAATCTCCGATGGGACTCATGGCCAGGACCACGTGGAGATGCTCCTTCACTCTCTCGATAAAGAAGTTGTACATGGACAGAGGCGTGGCCTCTATCTTCCGACCCTACATGCAGAGAAATACTGAACTGTGGAGAGGACTGAATGAGGAGAAAGATGCTGACCTGAGTTCTGGCTACCACCTGCATCTTTTCAATGATCTCCGCCTTCTCGTCTGGAGGATAGAGATTGGGCACATCCCCCGTGTTCAAAATCATGTTGAGATCTTCGACAAATGACTCGTCCTGAAATGATTAGCCAGACAGCTACTCATATACATATCATCTCACATTGGAACTCTTGCTCTGACCTTGATCTGGTTGTCTGAGAAGAGAAACGTTGTCCTCTTCCCCTCAGCTCCAGCTCTGATGAGCAGTTTCTTCAGGTCGTCCCTCCACTCCACCGTAGTGTAGTTCTTGGAGATCTCGATCTGGTAGAGGCTGTAGTCAGCCATGAACGTGGCCAGTTTGCAGGCACTCTGTCTCCCACTCCCCCCAACACCTGTGGCACACATGTCACAGTGAGAACCCTGAGATATCAGTATACAGTACTGCAGTACACGTACCGATGAGGAGACAGTGGCCATTGTCTTGCTTGAGAACTCTGCTGATCCGAGACACATGCTCAATGGCAAACTTGAACATCACCAGTTTCATTGGTGCCTTGCTCATCTGGTTGTAATCGTCCAAGTAGCTAAGAGGACGAGAGAAGAAACTAGAGGTATTACATCATTGATGAATTCACCCACTTTTCAATGACAGAAGTGAGATCTGAGAAGCTTTGAACCTCGTCGTATATCTTTGGTTCAGCTCCAGGTATCATGTAGTCTCCAAAGAAAAGGCTGCGGATGTTGTCATCCACCACTGCCTTCCCCCCTTCGGCCAGGTGACCCAGCAACTTGTCACTTGTCATCTTGAACTGCTGACTCAGCGTCTCCTGGACTATGGCAAAGAACTGCTCCCTGTCCTCGTCAGAAATCAGTCGGTCGTAGAAGATGCGATAGACTTCGTGGACCCAGAGCCGCACCAGTTTGTTGGCTTCAGTCATGTGTGTCTTTGGGACCAGCAGAACGCCAGACACCACACGAGAGAAGTCTCTCAGATTGAACACATAATGGGACTTGGAGGGAGTGGGCAGGAAGGTCACCACTGCAGCCTTGTACACTGCCATTGTTGCCTGAACCATCATCTGCAGAGATATGATGTCATGAGGAATGCTACCAAACACTACCTCTAGATCAACAGTACCTTTCCAAGCCTCAGGAAGGAAGCATCAAAACCTTTTCCGAAGTGCCAGTCGACCATCGAGGAGAAGATCTTAGTCATTGTAGTGTCGTCAAATGACTCGATCGAGATGAGGTTGAAGTGGCGGGTGAAACGATTGGTGATTGGATTCCTGCCGCCTCCCGGAGGACCCATTGCACACACCAGGTTCTGAGGAACAGAGAGAGGGAAGAGAGTGGGATCAGCCACACACGGGGAGTACCCACCACATCAGCAAGCTCCAGACGAGAGTTGTCCTTCTTGTCATACCAGTGCTTGTGGTCGACCCACTGTCTCAGCAGCTCGATGGGAGGCTGGGCTCCATACTTCTCCTTCTGAGGCATGTTCAAGTCATCCACAAACACCAAACATCTGCAGTACAGAAAACACAGTTTGTCCTCTCCTCCTAATGGCTTTGGTTTTGTACTTACTTCTTGCCCATTGGAGGACCAAACACTCCCTTCCTCCTGCGGTCCAGTTTGCTCATTCTGAAAAGAATGGAC